CGGTGTGGACCAGAAGGAAGAAAGAAACATTCAACCAGAACAGAATGAAGAAACAAGAATTCATAAAAATGAGGAGAGGCTTAGGAACCTCCAGGACATCTTTAAATGTTCCAACATCTGAATCCTAAGGGTACCAGAAGGAGAAGATGAAAAACAACAAATTGAAAACTTATTTGAATAAATAATGAAGGAGAACTTCCCCAATCTGGAAAAGGAAATAGACTTTCAGGAATTCCAGGAAGCTCAGAGAGTCCCAAAGAAGTTGGACCTAAGGAGGAACCCACCAAGGCACATCATAATTACATTACCGAAGATGAAAGGTAAGGAGAGAATCTTAAAAGCAGCCAGAGAAAAGGAGACAGTTACTTCCAAAGGAGTTCCCATAAAACTGTTGGCTGATTTCTCAGAAGAAACCTTGGAGGCAAGAAGGGGCTGGAAATTCCAAGTCATGAAAGGCAAGGACCTGCATCCAAGATTACTGTATCCAGCAAAGCCATCATTTAGAATGGAAGGGCAGATAAAGTGCTTCCCAGATAAGGTCAAGTTCAAGGAGTTCATCATCACCAAGCCCTTATTATATGAAATGTTAAAGGGACTTATCCAAGGAAAAGAAGTTGATCAAAAATATAAATAAAATGACAATAAACTCACAGTTATTAACAACCAACCCAAAACAAAAAAATTAAGCAAACAACTGGAACTGGAACAGAATTACAGAAATGGAGGTCCCATGGAAGGTTATCAGTGGTACAGTGTGATGGGGAGAGAAGGGGAAAGGGTACAAGGAATAAGTAGCATAAATGGTAGGTAGAAAATAGACAGAGGGAGGTTAGTAATAGTAGGAAATATAGAGGCCAAAGAATTTATATATGACCCATGGACATGAGCTAAAGGGGAATGTGGGTGGGAGAGGGTGTGTAGGGTGGAGGAGAATTAAGGGGGAGAATGGAATAACTATAATAGAATAATCAATAAAATATAATTTAAAAATTTATCTGGTTCCCTAATTCCTATTTTCCACTCCCCTGGCTGCTACTGTGGACAAGTAACTTAACCTAGATTTGCTCACTCATAAAATGATAAGATTGGGCTTGACCTGGAAGATTACTTCCTGCTAAAAATTTTTTATGAAATGATGCCACAAAATATTCCTCAGTGTTCCCTGTATTTGAGCAATGTCATAAGAGTATTCTTGGTATTCATAAATATCAGATTACTAAATATACTGTAGTATATCAGATACAGTGAAGATTTTAGTAACATCAGTTTTTCAGTCTTACTAATTTTTATGACAGTATAATTGCTTTAGTTTTAGAATCTCATGGGCCATTTCATCTCTTTAGTGACAAGCCTGCAGTCAGTCTTTCAGTAAATGACGTTATCTAAGGCACATTTCCTTGGAGAATATTATGCAGATTTCTTTTAGGGGATATAGGAAGAGTAATGGAATATGTCTTAATATTACACTAAGAAGATATTTCTGTTTCATATAATGAAAATGACCTGAATACTTTTTTAAGGATATAAAATAGTCCTTTTCTTCTTTGGATGTCAAAAAGACAAAACACATACTTAACTTGTCATGGTGACTTGGGTTTTCAGGCCCTAAAGAAGAGCTTTTTTCTTCTTTGGACAAATTTTTATAGCAGTTTTGCAATTCATTCAATACTAGTATGTAGTTATCTCATTAGCTATTTTTTAAACAATTTTATTTATTTATTTATTTATTTATTTATTTATTATTTTATTTTTAGAGAGAGGAAGGGAGGGAGAAAGTGATGGAGAGAAACATCAATGTGTGTCCCCTACTGGGGACCTGGACTCTAGGCATGTGCCCTAGACTGGGAATCAAACCCTTTGGTTCTCAGGCCTGCACTCAATCCACTGAGCCACACCAGCAGGGGCTCTTTAGCTATTAATGGTCACATTTTCACCGGATGTTAAAGATGTGGAAAACAGCATATAATATTAAGTAGAAAATTAAACAAAAATTGCCTTAAAAAAATAAACGTATATTCCAAGTAACAACAAAGCAGCTTTTCGTACATCTATGTAAGTGTTTGGAGTTGGGATAATTTCATTCACTTTTGTTTATCCTGAATCTGGGACACTGAATCCAGGGCTCATTTCATTCTGCTGTAGTTAGTACTGATCAGTTCTCAGTTTCGATGCTCAGTTCTGTGGATCACAGTTGCCTTCTGTATCCACTGTACTCATGCCAACCTGCCTCTTCGTTAACTCCCATCAATCAGCCTGCCTTTATTAAAGCATACCTTGTGCTACCATGCTGTGGTGAGATACAGAGACGAAGAGATGATTCCTGCCCTCAAATGGTTAATAATCATAGGCTTTCCCTGCCAAATTCTTTCCCATCTTATAGTGACCTTTTCTGCCAAATTCTTTCCCATCTTAAAGTGACCTTACAGGAAGAGATCTTCCTGTGATCTTCCCTGTAATTTTCTGTGCCATTCTAGACTGGAAGGTGAATTGTAGATAGCTTTCCCCAGAGGCCTTTTTGTAATTTAGATATGCTTTCTGTTGTAGCATTGTTTCTGGTCTGTACTTCTTTATATATACATTTTGTTTAATATCTCACTTTTACATATGTTAATCATGAGGTCCTCATAAACACCCGTTGATGTTTGTATGCAGTAGAGCTATCCCTTTTGCAGATAAAAAAAATTTAAGGCCCAGAGAGAGGAAACAGTATCTGTTAGCAGTCATTCCCCATTTTCTCCCAGTCTCTGCCAGCCCTGAGAACCCACTAATGTACTTTCTGTTTCTATGGATTTGCCTCTTCTGGGTATTTCATATAAATCATACAATGTATGGCCTTTTCTGTCTGGTTTCTTTTACTTAGCATGTTTTCAAGGTCCATCCATGGGGTAGTATGTATCAATCAGTTTTTTATTTTTATGACTGAATATTCCATTTTATGGATGTATCACATTTTATCCATCCATCAGTTGCTAGACATTTGGATTACTTTCACTATGAACAGTTGTGCATAAGTCTTCGTGTGGGCATATGTCTTCATTTTTCTTGGGCATATACCTCAGACCCAGAGTGAAGTTGCTGGGGTGAATGGTCACTCTGTGTTTAACATTTTCAGTAAATGCAGACTGTTTTCTAAAGCAGCTGCACCACCTGCAGTGGAGTACGTATGTGAGGGTTCTGGTTTCTCCACATCCTCTCCCACACTTGTTATTGGCTGTCTTTTTAAAATTATAACCTGTATTTTTATTATAGTATGACTCTTCCAAATTTTTTGTTCTTTTTTAAAGATTGTTTTGGTTGTTCTGGGTGCCTTGAGTTTCCATATGAGTTTAAGAACAGTTTAAAAAAATTTTGCAAACAAATACAAAATGCCAGCTGGGATTTTGATAAGGACTGTTGATTATTAAATCTGGTTGGGAAACGTTATCTTAATAGTAAGTCTTCTGATCAATTAGCAAGGGATATCTTTATGTAGACCTACTTTAATTTCTTTCAACAATGTTTTTTAGGTTCTTAGAGTCTTAAGTTTTACATCTTTTTAAATTTATTCCAAATTACTTTATTCTTTTTGATGCCATTGTAAATGTACTTCTTTTTTTCTTTTATTTAATTCTCAGTACAAGTCTACAAGTCTTTTATTTCTCTTTGTAGAGGAGAAAATCAGTTCAGAGAAATTAAATGATTTAGCCCTGACTGGTGTGGCTCAGTGGATTGAGTGCTGCTGACCTGCAAACCAAAGGTCGTTGGTTGGATTCCCAGTCAGGGCACAGGCCTGGGTTGTGGGCCAGGTCCCAGTAGGGAATGTGTGAGAGGCAGCCACATTTTTTTTTCTCCTTTTATTTTTAAAAATTTTTTTATTTTTTATAATTTTTATTTAGTTATTTTTCAAGTACAGTTTTCTGTTTATTTCTCCCATTCCAGCCCACCCCTCCCCCATACACCCCACCTCCCTCCCATTTCTACCCCCCTTAGTTATTGTCCCTGTGTCCTTTATACTTGTTCCTCTAAATCCCTCCCATTTTTTCCCCTTAAATTCCCTCCCCTTTCCCCTCTGGTCCCTGTCCCCCTGTTCTCTCTTTCAGTGTATTTGTTTTTATTTTGCTTGCTTGTCTGTTTTGTTGTTTAGCTTCCTGTTAAAGGTGAGATCATATGGTATTTGTCTTTCAATGCCTGACCTATTTCACTCAGCATAATGCTTTCCAGTTCCATCCATGTTGTTGCAAAGGGTAGTAGTTCCTTCTTTCTCTCTGCTGCATAGAATTCCATTGTGTATATGTACCACAATTTTTTGATCCATTCATTTACTGATGGGCACCTAGGTTGCTTCCAGCTCTTGGCTATTGTAAATTGTGAGGCAGCCACATTTTGATGTTTCTCTCCTTCCTTTCTCCTTCGTTTCTCTTCTCTGCACAAAAAAAAAAAAAAAAAAAAAAGTAAATAAAGTCTTTTTAAAAATTTTTAAAAAAAAGAAATGATTTTGCCCACAGGGCAACCAAGATAGTGTTTCTAGGAGTGCATCTGGGTGAATGAGGATACACTTCACTCAGCCTGACTACAAACCCTTGCATGCTTTCTATTCACCCTTGGAAATCCAAGGTGCAGTAGCAGGAGGATTGGAAGGGAAATTCCAGGTGTCTCAAGTAAATGAATGAGGTATTCAGGAATAAGAGTTGGATCTTGAACGCTGATGACAGGAGTGATGGATACCTACTGCCTCGCTTCTTAAGCCTTCGGGAAGTATTTTGAGGCAGTATGGAGACCCTATGATTGCAGGCCCAGGTCCTAGGTTGGAGTCCGGCTTCCCTGCTTAACTCTCTGTCCTCTAGCATTCATTTTCGTCTTCATAAGGTCGCTATTGAAATTATTAAATCAAATAAAATTTGTGTTTATAAAACTCAGAGCCCAGAGCCTACTACAAAGTAAGTGTTAAGTTAAATGTTAATTATAATTGTTCTGTTACCTATAGATTTATTCTTATTCCATTTTCATTTTTCTCTTTTCAGTACAAGTTCAGGGATCTAACTGTGGAAGAACTAAAGAATGTAAATGTGTTTTTCCCACATTTCAGATATTCCATGGACACCTATGGTAAGAATAATATTCTCTGGTTTTTGCTGTATTTTATAAACTGTTAATTATTTGTTTCTAGAGAGCTACACACAATTATAGTTTCTCATTTCTCTGTTTTAGTTCAATTTTGAATTATACTTTGTGACCCGTGATCTGAGGCAATTTAAGTTAATACAATTTACTTGTTAAATTGCATTGATTTTCTATTGCTACCATGACAAATTAGCACAAATTCCATGCTAAAAAGCCTCTTTGCCAGGTAGGGTTAACATATTCACAGGTTCCACAGATTAGGGTATTGGGTATCTTTGGAGGCTGTTATTTTGCCTAGCAAATCTATGGTTGATTCAAAATTATTAATAACAAAGTTTTAGTTATCTTATTCACTTAACATAGAGGGTGTAGCTACCTAAGAAAAGCTTTACTATCTTTCAAAAATTTCTGACCACAACCCACACTTGGAAATACATTTTGTATCATGACCCCACATATACATAACTAAAATACTGTGGACACTCTGGAATTTTCTCTTTTGTTCATTTCATTTTATTTAAAAACAAATGCTGATTAAGACTCACTAAATTGATTTCAGGGCACACAAATTAGTCAAAGCACACAGTTTTGAAAAACAACTTTGCTCTACATGGATATGTTTTATATTTGAATTAGTTTGGGTTAAGAAAATATATCTAATCGAGATTTATACATTGAAAATATTGAGGAGTTAATGGAGTATTTCTTAGGAATAGCTAATTTCATATGTGGAAGAAATTATAAGATTCTGGCCCATCTGTGACTGGCCTATTTTGATTGGCAGAGGCCTTTTAGATGTAATTAAGTTAAGAACCCTGAGCTGGGACATTATCCTGTGTTATAGGAGTAGGACTAACCTAATCACATGGGTCCTTAAAAGCAGAGAATGTTTCTAGCTGTGGAGAGAAGGGGATTTGGCCACAGGAGGACAGTCAGAGAGATGCGACACTGCTAACTGTGAAGACGAAGGAGATCTGGAGCCAAAGAATAGGGGTGACCTTTAGAAAGGGACAAAAAGCAAGGAAATAGACTCTCTCCAGAGCCTTCGGAAAGGATCGAAGACCTGCCTGTGCCAGGGATTGGGGACCTAGCAGCTACTGCTTACTGAATGTCAGCTCTGCTTCCAAATGTCTTATCTGTGTTACCTGAAATATATATATTTTTACAACCAAAGCCACGAGTTAAATATTATCTTTATTTTTCAGATAAAGAAACCAAGACTCAGTTTAAATGAATTGCTCAAGATTTTGCAGCTAGTTAGAAATAGAGTTGGGGTTTGTGCCCATGTCTGTTTTACCCTCTGCTTGAATACTGTTTGTTCTTTTACAATGTGTTTCTTCATTATACAGATTTATTACTCCAGGTAATTCTTATTCTCATTTCTCCCTGTCCAGAGAAAGTGAGCTATGGTGCCATTGGACTCTCAATCTATGGGGCTTATATTGCCAATGTGTATTTTATTGTATACTATGATAGTCATGCATCTTAATCACTTTTATTTTAGCTTTTTGAATAATTAATTGGACAATAAATATTTATACTTACAGTTTCTCTACCACATTCCAAGTTATTCTGTGTCCCTGAGTAACAATCCCTGTTCCACACTTCTTTCCATTATAATTTTTGCCATGGAGTGATCTCTTCACCCATTGTTACCTTTCCTATATGTATTACAGTTCAAGGTAAACATTTGTACTTCTGTACCATCTTGGACTTGAGTTTTCTGTCAGCTTGGTTTCCTTGTTTCTCTTCCTGATAGATCATCAAATCTACTTGGAGTTTTTTTATTCCACGAAACAGTGTAGTTACTGAGGTACTAAAAGGAACACAATTCCAAGGCAGTGTGATAGTCCAAGGCCAAAGGTAGTCTTTCCTGTGTTCCATTCAGAGGTCAGGGCATTGGCGCTTCCCCAGTATGTCCCAGTTATTGGTGGGCAAGTTGAATTTCGGGGATGTGAGGAGTGAATAAAGATTAAGAATAATGGAGTTAGAGAAACCAAAGAAGAAAATTATTGATCTTTCTAAAAGGTCACTTTAAAAGAAATAAAGCTAACATTTTTCTGATTATTAAAGTTATAATCTGATTTCTGAACATGATTGGAACTGATTTTGTTACATGTGACAATTATTTGATAATGTCCCCACATTTTATAATCCTTTACTTTTTTTCACATTATCTCATTAGATCTTTGCAACAACCTAATTATGCAGTATTACTATCTTTATTTTATGGATGATCTAACTGAAAGTCAAAGAGATTAAAGTAACCAAAAGTCTCATGCCTCTGAGTGGGGAAGGTGGACCTAGAACTTGGGGTTTCAGTATCACAGTCCCATGTTTTTTCACCTACTCTCTCTGGTTACTAAGAAAAAAAACATTCAGTAATTTCCCCCTGTCACAAACATCTCCACTGATTCCTGGATTGTGGTATTTAGAAATTGTGTGGGTCTGTATATGCGTATGTGCATACCTGTGTTGCCTGCTGTTGCGTCAGATTTGACTCCAGTGACCCGACTAGAATGCGCTTCCTTCTTTTGATAGCATATTTTGAGGCCTTTTTTTTTCCCCTTCCAGTTTTCAAAGATGATTCCCAGAAAGACTTGCTGAATTTCACTGGTACTATTCCTGTGATGTATCAGGGTAAGTGTGGAAGTTGAAAAATTGTGGGAATTTTCTAAAAGAACAGTTTAGTAAGAACTTACGTTTGTTCAGTGCCATAATACTCTCAAAGTGTTTTGACATGTATATGGTCTATACAGAACCTTACTGAGTATAGCAGACAACTGTCCCAGTCAAGGAAAGTCTAATTAATATCAACAAATGCAATTCAATAAATATTTATTAAATGTCAATTATGTGCCTACTACTCTCCTCAGTGCTAGGGTTCAGAGGAGAGCAAGACAGACACAGGCCTGCTCTGGTGGAGAGTTATCTCTGTTTTCCATTGCAGACTGCAGGAATCCCCACCTTTGTCTTCATTACCTCGGTGGAGGGTTCCCCTTCCTTTTCCTCTGTGTGATGTAGCACCATCTCCATTCTATAGACGGAACTAAGTCTAAGCCTGCTCAGGTGATTTACCTAAGACTACACATCTGGTAGCAGGCTAGAACTTCAAACTCCCAGTTGGAAAATTTAAAACATAAGGGTTATTCAAGCTCAAAGAAAGCAGCACATTTTCAGTGACCCGACAGGTTAAAACAGCTAAGTGTTTTCCCAAAAAGAAAAAAAATAAATCACTAATTTCCCCATACCAGGGGTGTCAAACTCATTTTCACCGGGGGCCACATCAGCATTGTGGTTGCCTTCAAAGGGCCAAATGTAATTTCAACTCCTTAACTGTTAAGGAGTAGTTACATTTATACAGTCCTAAAATTATTTCGGCCCTTTGAAGGCAACCGTGAGACTGATATGGCCCCCAGTGAAAATGATTTTGACACCCCTGCCCTATACATTATTCTTCCTATTTGTCCAGACCTAGTTCCTCCAGTTTCTAAGAGGACTAACTTTTAAGACAGGTATTACAGGAGATTGCTTATATAGTGTGAGTTGAAGAATACTAGTGAAATGTTGGTTCCAATATAGTTCTCTTAAGTGGTGCCTGAAAATTCACCATTAGAAATTTATTCTTCTTTAAATGTGCAAAGAATCCCAGGAGGGATAACACCCAGAATCACTGCCAGACAGTGCTGTGCTTCTAGAAAACAGTCAGTGAAGAGTTGAATGACTGCACTGGATTATTACTGACTGAAGGACTGAGGAATACATGAATTAGTGGGCATTTGAAAGAGGAGGTCCCACTGCAAAGGGACTGAGGAGGATCCGGAAACCAAACGGGAAGAGAACAGTGGAGTTTGCTGTCTCTTAAAAAGGGTTGAACGCTATGTAATGAGAATACTTTGTCCAAAAGACGCCAAGAAGCTATATGTTGGAGGACTTTTTCAAAGTAGGTGCTTCATTATGGTAGTTCCTAGATTATTAGAAACCTTCCCTAGTGTCTACCTCTCTGTAATGACTTGTTGCCAGAAGCACACTCACATTTCATTCTGCCTCTGTTTTTGCCCCACTATGACTCTTCCTTTGGCACAGGAAATGCAGAGGAATTTAGTTTGGCTTTTACACATAGAAATGTGGTTGGAGATCAAAGTAGGTAGCAATGGACTCTGCAGAATTTGTAGGAAGGTAGGCAGAACACACATAAGGTTTGTTTTTATTCTCCTTTCATGCTCCTCTGCTACCAAGCTATCAGACTGTTTTCTGGCTGCCTGGAGAATTTTACTCGGACTTGTTCCCCATTGCTTGTGTTCTGCATGTTGTATGGTTAGATGTTAAAAGGGGAGAGAGAGAATTCCTACCCACCCCAGTGACTGACTGACTGACTGATTTCACAAGTCTTGCCCACCCCAGTCATTTCAAGGGAAGGTGTATAGTAACAGAGGAGCTTACGCATTTAAATGAATCATTGCATAGAAGCATTTCAGTTTTTAGAACAGTGTGGGGAGGTAACAGGAGGGCTCACAAGTTATCTTAATACCATCGGTAAGGTGCATTTCATTGGCACTCGGACTCTCCTAGTGCCGTGGAGTTGCGTCACTGGTTCTTATGCTGGCAGGGTTTCTCAAGGTAGTGACGGTACCTGCAATACCTTTTTATTGGCAGTACACTTTTTTCCTTTTGCTTTTTTTTTTTTTTAAGAATTTTTGGGATTGATTTTATCTGGGCATCTCACAGTCTTCAGAACAATCTGTCTTCGGAACAGTCTGTCTTCAGAACAATCATGGCACAGAAAATTCGTCACCAAGACTGCCCAGAAAGTCTGACCAGCTGAATCTTACTGCTTAAAATACACATATTCAACTGACAAATGGTGATGTGCCTCGCACAGGAATGTGTTAGCATTTGCAAATCTTCTGACTAGCATAGAACTCTTGACTAATACTTTTCTTCTCATTCTTCTGGAAAACCAAACTCAATCAAATCTCCCTGGCACCCTAGTAGTCCTTCAACTCCCGATTTCCATCTCTCTCTGCACTCAGGGTAGCCTCCTGGAGCAGGGGCAGGTTGTGCCTGCCAGCATCAAGCCCAGCCACCCAGGTTCTGTTATCCCCTTCTCCTGCATTTAGGGTAGGACTCTACAGTGAACCTTAATACTCAGACCAAATCCCCACTCTAATTGGGAAAGGAAATTTGAGAGGGCCAGAATTCATCCATTTGATCAGTTAATTGAAGGAGGATTCATTTTGGTAAAACTTGATTCCTGGAAGAAGACTTGATTTCTTATGCTGTTATAGTTGTGTGAATTTTCCCCCTTTTCCCCTCCACCCAGCATCCCCCACCCCCTTAGGCAATTCCCCCCACCGTTGTTCATGTCCATGTGTCATGTATGTAAGTTCTTTGGCTACTCCATTTTCTGTACTGTACTTTACATCCCTGTGGCTATTCTGTAACTACCTATTTGTACTTCTTAATCCCCTCACCTCTTCATCCATTCCCCTCAAACCCCTCCCATCTAGCAACCATTAAAACACTCTCTGTAGCCAGAGATTTCTATATAAGTTTTTTGTTTTTATATTAGGTTTAGCTTTGGGCTCCCTGGCAGCCAAGGCAGGCAGATGTTGGCTCTCAGCAGGTGTGATGTGAGTGATTACAACTGGAGGAGCGTGCAGGCGAGTTCCCATCACAGCACGCTGAAATGGACGGACCACTGGGCAAGGTGTTGTTAGGGTTATTTTCAGCTCTAAGTCTTTGTAGCCAAACTAGCTTGTATGTTACAGTGCCTGCTAGTAGTGAGCAACTTGAGGGCCAGTGTGGAGGCAACTTTGCCAGCAAGTCTGCCACGGATGAAAGTAGCACTACCAAGACATGATCTGCTTGGGGAGGAGAGATGGCCAATCTCTCAGAGGAGAAAGGCCAAGAGCCCCTTCCTCAACAGCTTTTATTGGGTTGTAATACATAGGAATACAGGCGGCAAGGGTCAAACAGTAAATAACATTTCAAAGAAATCTGAGGGCTTAGTCTGAGTCATTGTCTGTCAGGAAAGGGGGTTGCAGAAACTTTGGGAGACATACTCATTTCCTGCTCAGACCCTTAACATATGAATGAAAGCACTCTTAGAAAAGCAGGCTTCACAGGACTTTTAGGACTTCTTTCTTATGCCTGATCACCCCCAGATCCTGCTCTAGCTGGCAAGGGGCTGCACCGCCTCCCCCATCATAGGTTTTCAGGCTTAAATGGATTAGAGCCAGGAAGTGCTTCTCCCAGAGGACATGGGGACTCGGGCTATGTCAGAGTAGCCGGGGGGCGAGGGTCCATCACTCCCTCTTTGTTGCAGCCCCCCGAGTCCTTCCACGATGGCCTCCCAAGTGATCATGTCTGGCTTAGGTTGCCCCTCCTCTGAGGGGTCTTACCTGTCATGGACTATTTGACCATGCATTGGGGCGGGGGAGTAAGCAGAGGCAGCGTTTGCTACCAGAGACAAGCTTTGTCTCCTTGTGGCTCGTATTCTGGAGGTCGCTCACTCATCCTTAGCCATGGGGGAGGGGTGGTTAGTTACGATTCTTGAAACCAGGCAGGGCAGTTCCCAACAGGCCAGTACCAAATTCATCTTATTCATTTACTTTTAATTTGTTTATTAATTCAGTCATTCTTAATTATATAAGAAACTTTTATTGAGCAGCTAGTATGTGAGGTACTACACTTGGTGCAGGGGATATAGAAATGAATAATACGTAATCCCCTCTTAGGAGGAAGTTTACAATGTAAAAGGAGAAACAGCACTGTAAACAAATGCAGAAGTATACAGATTAGAGGGTCCAGGCAGCAGCACCTCTGTCTCACTTTTTCTTTCCCCCCTTCCCCTTCCTTTTTTTCTTTTTCTTGTTCCCCCTTTCTCCAGTTCACCATTTCCCCTTGGAGGTGCTTCGCCCCAGCAGGGGCAGAGCTGGTCTCACCCCCCACCTCCTAAAAAACACATATACGTGTAACAGTCCACGACTGTTCAAGAAAGGTGCAATAGCTCTGCTCGGGTGGGCAAAGAAGATTGTATAGAGAAGATGGTGCAGCTTAAACTCCTGGCACAGTAGGTCCTGTCAATATTCATTGAATTGAATTGGATGTCTTAATTAAATTTCTTCACATATTAAGCTGGTGACTTAATAGGAACATATTTCCAATGTTAATGTAGATGAAATGGAGAAAATAGGCCTTGATTTACATAAATCCTTTATATATAAGCTTGACTATGCATCTTAAAATGCCACCTAGCTATACCGTAGATAAATGCATGTGCCTTATTATTGTTTGAAGTGTGTTTATTTTGTCTCAAATAGGTAATACATATAACATACCAATTCGTTTGTGGATTTTGGATTCTCACCCTTTTGCTCCCCCCATTTGCTTCTTAAAGCCAACTGCAAATATGGAAATCTCAGTTGGAAAACATGTGGATGCTCAAGGCAGAATATACTTGCCCTACCTCCAAAACTGGAGCCATGTAAGATTGATTTGGATTTTCTTTTGCAAGTTCTTATTTTTCTGAATATTTATATTTGATCCTAGTGGATCAAAGTAACAAGTTACTGAATTTTCTTTCAACTATATGCTTCATATGGTCTTTAAAAGTAACTAGAAATTGAGCCCCCAGGGGTCACCTGAGCCCCAGGACCCTGATGACAGCAGCCTGCCTGAGGCTGGGAGCCAGCTGGTGTTTGCTCCCTGTCTCTGAATGGTCGTTTGCTGCTGGATAAAGCACGTGTACAGCTACTAAGATGTTAGGCATCATTTCCCAGTCCCTTTCTATTAAAGATTCTTAGGTAATATATATGTATTCATTTGTAGTTTTGCCTCTCTATGACCTTTAATAAATTGAATCATATAATTTTCCATTATGTGCTTTGTTTTAATTAAATTTTTAAAATGCACTCATGTGATGTATGTCACTGTAGTTTACTTGTTTTACAAATCCTCACTTTATGCAACTTTGTATTGTGCATTTTTCATCTGCCATTATATCGAGCGGTGATGAATCTCTAGGAATGCAGTAATTGGATCAAAGGTTATAAATATTTTGAAGGCTCTTCTTATCTGTTGCCAAACTGGCCTCCAGAAAGTAGACAGAATGTTGCATGTCTGCCATCAGTAGAAATCAGTGCAGGCAAGTACGTGTTTTCAGCACCCTTGCTCTAACAGAAGGTGTTATTCAAACAAAATAGACTTTTGCTTATCTCTTTACGTTTACTTTAAAATGCTCTCATTTTTACAAGTGATTAAAACCCTTATGAAAGGCTCATTTATAACGTGTGTATACGTGACCAGAAGTTGTAGAACACGGGGGCAGGGCTGTCTGAGAGTCCAGTGAGGTGGCTGCCAAGGATGACGTCGGGGTCATCACTTCTTGTTTTATGTACATCCTGTGAAAAGGTGTGCAGTTGTGGACACGCTTTATTTTTTCTATGGTTTTTTATTTTTGTATATGTAAAACCTTTAAAAAGAAGGAAAAAGAAATAGTAAAAGAAAGAATTTACACAATTTGTAGTGAAGTTTAGGTGGAAAAAAATTGACTGTTTATTGACTGTTTTATGACGTTGTACACTATTTGTAATAGTTGGTGATTTAAATAGGATTTCAGTTAAATGTTATGATTGGGTTCCTAAAAATTAGTCTACTGGAAGGCCAAAAATGATGTCTTAATGTTTAGTTCTTTGGGTAGTTGAGAAATTTAAATCTTTTTCATATATTTATCGATCATGTATGTTTCTTCTTTTTTGAATTGCCTCTCTCCTTCATTCATATTACCTTCTTTTTTTTCTTTTCTGTTTAAAAAACTATCCTCAAAAGATATTTTGACATCTGTACCCTGTTGTGGGAATCCATAGTTCTGTTTCCTCTTTCTGATTTTCTTGGGCATCTCTTTTCATAGTGTTATTTGTTTGCTTGTTTAATAAATACTCAGAAACAGTGCATAATCTGGTTGAGGTTGTGCTTTATTTCAGTTCAGACAGTATTGATTTCATTTTACTATTCTGAGCTTCTGTATTATAAGCTAAAACTGGTTTTAAGAAGACATTACATTATTTAAATTACCCTATTTAAAATGACTAGTAATTTTAAGATCCACATACTCTTGTACAGTTGGAATTATAATTATGTAGGATTTATAGGATTATAGGATTTTGGAGCTAGAACGAATCTAGAGGTTGTCTAGGCCAAGGATTGCAGACATTTTCCCCAATACAGTCAGTGTGCTGTGTTGGGTCTATAGAATTTTGTTGGAATGGCACAAAAGTTTTGTTTTGCTTTGTTTTATTATTTTCTTCTTCTTTGTTTTGTTCTTAATATGAGTTTGAATGCCTATACATGTACTGTTTCCAATCTGCCACAATAACCATCTCCCCGAATTTTCTTATCCATAACACCTTCACACATTATGTTATCTGCTAGTCTTTAAAGGTGTTCGATGCTAATGGCCTCATCCTCCTAACTCATAAATAATGAAACCCAGACACTGAGAATTAAGCACTTTTTACAATGAAAAAGCTACTTGATAGTCCTAACAATAATAAACATCGATTTTCCACTCAGAGGCTATAGTTTGCACGCATCGACTCAGTGTTACATTGCTGATAACACTGAAGCTAAGCTAGGTTAAGTGAATTTCACTAACGTTGCTTAACCAGTTTAAATGGAAAGCTGAGATCATACTGCCCCGTGCTAACTTTCGGGTTCGAGGATGGTCACGCAGGTTCTCTGCAAGTAAGCACATTCACCTTGTTTTCCCAGATTTTGGAGATGTGGGTTTAACGTTTCTCTCTTCATTTTTCAGTTAAAAGATTTAAGTAACTTTCTAAATGAAAGTACTAAAACAGTTGAAGGTATCAACTAGTTTCCATGGTAGTTTTCAGAAAATGAGAGCGTAACACAGTACTTTGTCTTGGCTAACTAGAACAAGGAGTAGGTTGACAAGGTGGTATTCATGAGCCATATTGTTGCATAACTCTTCCCTTTGTTTGTATTCTGCAGCCTAAGTCTGTCATTGTAGGATTAATCAAAGAAATGATCGCCAAGTTTCAAGAGGAACTGCCCCTGTATTCCTTCTCCCCGTCTGATGAGGTGCGGCAGGTGGACTTGCTAGCCTACATTGCAAAAATCACTGAAGGTCTGTATTTTTGTTATTCAGAGAATTATGAGGTTAGAATTTCTCACTAACAGCCTGTACTCTCTGCTACTTTATTTTTATAAATAAATACACACACATATGTGTTGAATCAAAAATTCCTGTCCTTCTGTCATAGGGTAAGTTTTAGCATACAGTTCCAGTGAATATGGTTTCTTAAAATGTGGAAGATGACTCTTATACTGACAGATGAAACAGTTTTGTGTTTTGTTCAAAATCGCTTGGTATATATAGGGGTAGGCAGAAGTAGGTTAAATTATCAGCCATTATTACCTAAAAGATAAATCATAAGCAGGGATACAAAATAACAATAATAATAAAAAGAAGACATTTTAATAAATAATAATAGAAGAATGAACTGTTTCACGTCCTCACAGCTGTAAACCTACGTTTGCCAATCCTGTATTAATGATCCTAAACCTTTTTCCTTGTATATTTATGTGGCTTTTTGCCTCATTTCAATGTATTGGACCAGAAAAACCCGTGATTCTCAGTGTTTCCATTCAGTATAAAGCAAAATACTCATGCTTGTAAAATTTGGTAAGGTGTTAAATATTTTTTACAATTTAGACCAGAGCAGTAAGAATCAGAATGTTTTTTAGAATTATGAAAATTCTGGGGTTTTTTTCGGTCTTAAATAATGTGTTTAAATGTTTGGAAGGATATTTTCCTTTTAAAAGGGTAGCCTTCATTTAGCAGAGTACTTAATATCAGATTCCTGTCTTTCCAGCATTTCATTTGTTCAGCAAGTGTTTTTGACTGCCTGTTGTGGATTAGCAGCATGGCGTCTGTCCAAGTTATTGAGGCTTGGTGTATTTTTTCTAAAAGATGCTAAAAAGATTTTTTATAGTATTTTTAAATTGTCATGGTCATTCATCTCTTTTTTTCTAGGTGTCTCTGACATAAATTCAAAGAACTCAGCAAATTATGAGAACAAAACAGTAAAGAAAATTACTGTGGTTGGAGGTGGAGAACTAGGAGTTGCCTGCACATTAGCAATATCAGCAAAGGTATGTAAGCATGGTGGCTATAAATATGTTTATCACATTGCTATACTTTAGGGTAGCTTATGGTTAGTATACAAGAAATGATGGCTTAATTTTGTCATGTAGGAAAATCTCTTTTTGCCTTAAAATATATTTAGTTAGTTGACAAAAGCTAAAAGCTCTCATTCAGTTAGTCATGGAATAGGCTTTGAAAAAGTGATTTGAATAATGGGCTTATCACACTAATTCAAAGGAAACCTCAACTTGGCATTCATCTGACTTACTCACAAACTCTTGTTTTCTGAGTCATGCTGCTTATTTTTTAAAATACTTTATTTACTTACTTACTTTTAGAGCGAGGGGAAGTTATGGAGAGGGACAGGGAGAGAAACATCCCTGTTAGAGAAACATTAATGGGTTCCCTGTTACACTCCTCTGAGTGGGGACCTGGCCCACAACCTAGGCATGTGCCCTGACTGGGACTTGAACCTGCAGACTTTCAGTTTGTAGCACGATGCCCATCCCACTGAGCCACACTAGTCAGGGCTGAGTCATACTGCTTTAATTAAACTCTTATTTAAGAACCTAATTTTAGCTCTTTCTAAAATTATTCAGTAGAATTTCTAAGGTGATCTTTTTTCATGTAATTACTTTCTTTAAGATTGTAATTCCTGAATTGATAGTTTGAGATTTATTTTTACTAAGTCCTTTTCACTAGATGTTTTCTATATAAATCATTTTCAGAAAGGCACTTAAATCCCCCTTCCAGAGTGGTTCAAATGGGCCTCCAAGGCCCAGTATCTTGGTAATAGTATGTCTATGTCATTTGAGGAATATACTCCAGAATAGAATAGCTGTCCCTTTATATATTTATTTGGTAGCTATCATTTGATTTTCTAGTCTATTAAACTTTGATTGTTTACCAATTAAAATTTCCCCTTTCCTTGCCATCTGATTTCTTCTGTTTGAGACTCACATATGTCTTGTAGCTAGGTTCTACTTCTACAAATAATTAAATTGTATCCAGGGAGCTAGAAAGTTTTAAATCTGGCTATTGAGAACTATACAAGTATATGCTAACTTTTGACATATTTATCGTTTCATTTCCTCCACCCTCCATCTGAATAGACTGTTCCCTCTTAATTGGAATCAGAATGGTTTTCAATTCTTTTGTTGCTCAATCAAGTGCTTCTGTAAACACTGCTGTACAAGCTGCCTATTTTCTCATCTGAATTTTTTTAGGTGTACATAGTCTCAGAAGTAATACTAGTGAGTCAGAGGGCATGGATGGTTTTTATGGCACTTATTACATATTTCAGGACTGCTCTTTAGAAAGGCAGAACTAATTATGGTACTAATAAAAATGTGCACATCAACCAGAATTTGACATCTCTAACAATACTGAGTTTCATCGATTTTCTTTGTTTTCATTAAGTACAGAAGGCTCTTTAAAGTCATGTTTTTTTAGCTGTTAGAAGAGTCTCACTGTATTTCCTTGTGAGCTGTCTAGATGGAAATTTTTTCCCATTTTTCCTTTTAAAGATTACTATCTTAAGACAAGGTACAATATTCAAGCAGTGCAAAAGTGCTCAGTACAATAGTAGCCATAATAGCGACAACAGTATGTACTAGTGGCAGGTACAGCAGTAACTAACCTTTACTGAATGCTCAGCTAGGTGCTGGGCACTCGTCTAAACACCTGACTCACCTTTACAGCAACCCTGTGGCTTAGATACCGTCATTACTGACCTTTTACAAATGAAGAAACCAGGACATAGGGAGGTTACCCAACTGCCCAAAGTCACACTGTCAATAAATGGAGCCAGCATTTGAAGATAGTCACTCTATTTATAGAACCTATATTCTAGATCCTTCCTACTCGATGTGTGACTTTCAGACCAGCAGCATTGATGTAACCTGAGATCTTACTAGAAGTGCACAATCTCAGGCCCACTCCAGACTTACAATAGCAAATCTGCATTTAACAAATCCCTGGCGATCCATGTGCTTCATTGACCTGCTAACTGTGATCCTTTAGCTTGAGAAGCTGTGCCCCAAACCGCTATGTTACACTGCTTCATTATTATTGTTGTCGTTAGCAGTGGACGTTTAGGTTGTTTAGTCTCTGTATTGTTTTGTTTTTTTCTGAGTTTATTTGAGCCAAGTTGATGACATATGCTAGGAGCAAGATTTCAAATGTTCTCTCTATTCTTTTGAATATCCATATACTCATACATCTTGTATCAGCATCCTACGAGTACTAATAGATTTATAGGATAATTCACATAAATTGATGGATTAAAGGAGTTACTGTGTTTTAAATTTTTGATAGAAATTTTCAGATTATATCAGTTTATTCTCATACCCATATTGTGTGAAAATACCTGTTTTTTATTGTTGTTAAACTTTTGGATCTTTGAATGTCTGATAAATGAAAAACGATAATTCAGGTTTTTTTTGCCAGGCAAAAACAAGTGTTTAACAATAATACAATCAATAGGTACAGTTTAGAGGACTGATCTCCACCAGGCCTGTGTCAGATAATTAATCCTCACAACCCATGGAGTGAGGCTGAGTTCAGTGACAGCATTACAGAGCTAGTGAGTAGTCTTGCTGAGTTGTTTTCTTAACTTCTGCACTTTCTCCCCAAGTCTGGTAGATCCCTTGGTGTTCTTGCTCCTGCACTCTAAGACAGGAGAGAGCCTTAGATCCCTTAGGACTTCGGAAGACCTTCCACAACCTCCACAAGGGTAGTCTGACTTTTGGGGTGTCCCATGTTGTCATTCACAGCCAGCCCATCCTGGCACCCAAGGAGCCATCTGCCGGCAGGTGCCGATCATTTCCACAGTTCTCTGGGGAGAGTACTGCATGATAATTGGATTTTATTTTAGATTTATGGCTATTATCCTTTTTTCTTTTTTTATATTTTTACTGATTTTTTAGAGAGAGAGGAAGGGAGAAAGAGAGCGAGAGAGAAACATCAACTGGTTGCCTCCCATACATACCCCAACTGGGGATGGAACCCACAACCTAGGTATGTGTCCTGACTGGGAATCAAACCCCCAGCCTTTTGTTGTACGGGACAATGCTCCAGCCAACTGAGCCACAGCAGCCAGGGTTATCCTTTTTTTCTTTAAGAGAAAGTTGGTATTAGTATTTACTTTCATGCTAGAAATGAGATGCCAAAAGAGACCAAAAAAACCACTCTAAATTCTTTCAGAATGTAAATTATAACATCAAAATAAAAATATAAACTCAATAACAATAGCAAACATATTGAATGCGCCAAATCATCTTTATTACTTGCCCCATCAAAGCAAACTTGCAATTTGTGACTTCTGATTTAAGCCCTGCTAGATCTGAGTTTTCGGTGACACCTGAAGGATCGCGTTATTCAAGTTCATGATCATTTCTTGCTTGCATGTCCCTTTTATTGTTATTGCATTACTTTTGCTTCATAACACAGCACACAAGCCCTGTGTATTCTCCCGTAGCCCTCACTTCTGGATGAATTTAAATTGAGTAACTGGACATGTCCAGTGTAATGCTCTTCTGTTTCTTACTGTGCAGGGCCTTGCAGACAGACTCATCCTCTTAGACCTCTCAGAAGGGACTAAAGGAGGGATGATGGACCTAAATATCTTCAACCTGCCTAATGTGGAGATCAGCAAAGGTCTGGTTTTTCTGCTTAAAACTTGTATGCCTTATTTACTCTTGTGTTTAAGTCCTAGAATTTTAATAGACTTTATTTTTTTAGAGCAGTTGTAGGTTCAGAGCCATACTGAGGAGAAGGTACAGAAATTTCCCATATGTACCTCCTACTCGCACACATGCATAGCCTTCCCCATTGTTAGCATCCCCCACGTGAGTGGTACAATTGGTGAACCTACCTAGAAACATCATTTTCATTCAAAGTCTGTAGTTTACTTAGGATTCACTCTCTATGTTCTACCTTCTATGGATGCGGACAAATCTATAATGACATGTATCGACTATTATTGTATGTTAGAGAGTTGTTTTTCCTTGTAAAAAGCTTGGCAAATTTCTGGGAAAATGGAATGTGGAAACTGAGAAAAGAATATTAACCAAGCCCGAACAGTTTGAACAACTTACAGCCAGCTAGTGAATTGCAAGACCTTATCTTCCCTGGGCCTAACCAAGGACACTTGAGAGCAGGTGGCCTATACCTCGCCTCCCTAACCATGCAGTACATAGCTTAACGACTCTGGTTTGGGAAATAGAGAACAGAGATCCAATTAATGTCATTTGTGCCAGCCAAACTCAGGGATGGATAAAGTCAGGGGAACAAATAACAAAAACCCTAGAGCCAGACAGACCCAAGATAAAAGTAAAACAGTGAAGCAAACCAAAGAATAATCTCAAACTGTCCTATACACTCATTTTGATGCATCAGCACACTAAAAACAAACCTGGAGAGCTGGTGAATATTCTGCTGAAACCCTCCCCTAAGATTCTCACCTGCAGAAGAGAGAGAAACTCTCAAAACGAAAGATGTAAGTATGGACTTGCTCTAGAGCGTGCCCATACCCCTTCTCAGGTGTGAAATTTTTACTTCCTCCTAAACTCTAAGGGTCTCCACGGGACTTGCGACCAGGGGGGAGGTGGGCAGCTGGAGCTCATCCCAGGCCCAGCCCCCGGTCCAGCCCCTGGTCCTGTCTCCAAGGCCCTCTTTTTTTATGACTTCCCAGTGAGCTAACAGTAGCCCTGCCTGGGCTCACTCCTTTCCTGTAACGTTTCTAGGGAGCCAAAGCAGAGCACTGCCTAGGCTTTCTCCTGTTGCTTCTGCCCTGAGCTCTTCTGCTGTATCACTGTCCCCGGCTTTAATAAATGGTCACTCAAAATCACCTGGACTTGTGGAATCTTTCCTACATGAAGTCAAGAACCCATATACTACTGGCCAGCCTGAGGCAGACCCACTCTGGGCGTAGGACCCATCTGGTAACAGTTTCTGCCATAAAAATCACCTGTGCTCTGCCTGGAGAACTAGAATCTTAATGCTGAAAGTACCTTAAAGATCACCTAGTCCAGGCCCAGCTCAGTGCGTTGGAGTGTGTCCTGACATGCCAAGGTTGAGGGCTTGATCCCAGGTCAGAGCACATACAAGGATGAACCAGTGAATGCATAAGTAAGTGGAACAACAGATCTATGTTTCTCTCTGTGTCTCTCTCTCCCTTCCCCTCTCTCTAAAAATCAATTTAAAAAAAAAAAAAGATCACCTAGCCCAAATCCCTCAATTTACATATTTAGAAACTAAGATTCAAAAGAAGTTAAGTGACTTACCCAGAGTCTTACAGAGTCTACAACTGTTTATATTAACAAGAGTCAGATAAGTAAATAATATTCAGGTTGGTCAGAAGAATGTCTTCTTGTCTCTTTCAAATCACTTTAGGGGACTGTTTGGTACATGAACCCTAGAGGTCATGAGGCCGTTCAGGATGTGAGGAAATTGTTTCTTTCTGTATAGATTTAGTATAGATTTATTTTTTCTGATTGCTTGCTTTTTCATAATATATTGGTTAAGGACACTGGTTTTAAAGTTAGAAAGATGGGGTTTGCATCCTAGGGCTGCCACATCATAGCTCTGACATTTGTCAGATTATATAATCTCTGAAAGTTTAGTTTTTTGATCTTACAAGTGGGAATAATACCTACTTCTTGGTATATAGCAAAAGTGTTAAACCAGGAATTTTTAAAAAATTTTAATTTGGCCCTGACTGGTGTAGTTCAGTGGATTGAGCTTGGGCCTGCAAACCAAACAACTGTGGTTCAATTCCCAGTCAGGGCACGTGCCTGGGTTGCAGGCCAGTTCCCATCAGAGGACGCATGAGAGGCAACCATACAGTGATATTTCTCTTCCTCTCCTTCCCTTTCCCTCTAAAGATAAATAAATAAAATCTTTTAAAAAATTTAATTTGCATTACTTTCACTAAAAATATTGTTAAAATAAGTTTTAGTAACAATAAAAAGGGTTTTTGTGTCAATACATAAAATTTTAATGTTAAAAAAGCAATTTATCTCATATTTTTAATTTTAAAAGTTTCATTATATTTTATCATGTACATGGCATATGAATGAAGACATGAATATGTAGGTAAATGCTACATTTGGTGATACTTTAATAAATTAAAGTATTTTATTACCAGAGATGCATGATCAAAAAATTTGGAAGACCATTAAACTAGAAAGTGTTTACTCTAAGTAGTCTAGAAAGTGTTTACTCTAACCTTCCAAAACCAGGTTATAGCGGAAGTCAGGCTGTAACATGTAGTTGTTTGGCTTTCCCTTGCATTTCCTTACTTAGGTGCCCTGTATCCATTCACCATACTTTCCAAGTACAGTGTTGGGACATAATGGCTTTGCAAGCCTAAATGTACTAAGAACAACAGAAGGCCAGAAAAGTTGAAACGATACCTCTGGCTTATAAAAATTGGGTGAAATAGTTCTAGCAAGCCTCTAGATCCCTGTAGGGCATAGCGAGTTCTCTTTCTCTCTCTAGAGACAGTACAATAATAGTTGCTTTAAAGAGCCTTTTGTAGCCCTCATTTAGAGGATCCCTGGAGGGGACTGGATATTCTCTTGTGCCTGTTATTTCAGGTACTGAAGTTCTTGAGGGACCTTGTAACAATTCCAAATCCCCTTAGGGCACTGTCGAGTACATAGACCCTAGAGGTTGTGAGCCATTTAGTACGTGAGGAAATTGTTTCTTCCTCTGTCTTATTAACCATCAGTGACTTGTTTCTGGTCATTGAAAGAATGGACTCCTTAAAGTAGATATGTAGGTTGTGGTGCTTGCTACCACTTAGGGAATGTTGAATGAATGCACACTGTCTACTGTCTTGGGGCAAGTTTCATATTGCCCTTGTTAATTTTGGTTGCACGTTCCAGATAATGCTTAATTTAATTCCCATGACATGCATGGCTTTGAATGCATGACATGCATGGCTGTATAATTTGAAATATAATGTTAACTAACATTTTATGAATATATTCTACCATACGGAGAAGTGCATTAATAATTTTGGGAAATTGAACTCAAGGGAAATTTTAGTAATGTCCCATCATAACAGGTATTGATGATTGCAACTGATCATCACAAAGTTGTACTTTCTCCATTTGGATATTTTTTTTAATAGCTGCTAAAATATTTGGGGGAGGGATATACATATTGGGTTGGCCAAAAAGTTTGTTTGTTTTTTTGCCGTAAGATGGCTCTAGGAGTGCTTAGTTGTCTTAACTTCATGAGAAACAGTTTGGTTAGATTGTATTGTGACAGCTCTCATATCAGCATGCAATTAAAAAAACTTACCAAAATTGGTGAATTTTTGTGTAGCCATTTTAATACTGAAGATGGAAGAAAATAAGCAACATTTTTGGTGTATTATGCTTTATTATTTCAAGAAAGGTAAAAATAACTGAAACACAGAAAAAGATTTTTGCAGTGTATGGAGAAAGTGCTGTAACTGATTGAATCTGTCAAAAGTGGTTTGTGAAGTTTCGTGCTGGAGATTTCTCCCTGGACAATGCTCCACAGTCGGGTAGACCAGTTGAAGTTGATAGTGACCAAATTGAGACATTAGTTGAGCGCAATCAATGTATACCACATGGGAGATAGCCAGCATACTCAAAATACCCAAATCAAGCATTGAAAATCATTTGCACCAGCTTGGTTATGTTAATCGCTTTGATGTTTGGATTCCACATAAGTTAAGGTGGGGGAGCCTTCTTGGCCTATTTCCACATGCTATTCTCTACTTGAACATAATGAAAATCTTTATTTTTTTAAACAAATTGTGATGGGTGATGAAAAGTGGATACTTTACAAAAATGTGCAACACAAGAGATCGAGGGGCATGTAATATGAAGGAACCACTAACCACACCAAAGGCCAGTCTTCATTCAAAGAAGATGATGTTGTGTATATGGAAGGATTGGAAGGGAGTCCTTCCTCTATTATGAGCTCCTTCTAGAAAACCAAACGATTAATTCCAACCATTACTGCTCCCAGTTAGACCAACTATAAGCAGCACTTGATGAAAAGCATCCAGAATTAGTCAACAGAAAATGCATAATCTTCCATCAGGATAGCACAAGACTGCATGTTTCTTGGATGACCAAGCAAAAACTGTTACAGCTTGGCTGGGAAGTTCTGATTCATCCGCCATATTCACCAGACATTGCATCTTCTGATTTCCATTTATTTCCATCTGTACAAAATTCTATTAGTAGAAAAAATTAAATTCCCTGGAAGACTGCAAAAGGCACCTGGAACAGTTCTTCATCAAAAAGATAAAGAAGTAGGCTTTGTGGCGTGGTGGATAGTGCATTGGACTTCTAGTGATGAAAAAGATGAAGAGTTTTATTTTAGGAAGATGGAATTATGAAGTTGCTTGAAAGATGTTAGAAGGTAGTAGAACAAATCAGTGACTGTATTGTTCAGTGACTGTACAGTGAACTGTATTGTTCAATAAAGTTTTTGATGAAAACAAAAAATGTGTCTTTTGGCCACTCCAATATGTACATGTGAGGATGCAAATATACTATACAGGTTGGGGCAAAAGTAGGTTTACAGTTGTAAGTATACAAAACAGAGCTTATTCTTGTATTATTATTTGTTTATTAATTATTATATTATTTTTCATATGAGCAAGTGCAAACCTACTTTTGCCACGCCCACTATAAATACGCACAGTTATGCTTTTGTATGCATAGACTAAATCTGGAGAAATATTGAAGAAGTGTTAAAAATGGTTGTTTTAAGAGTCAGACTAGGAAAACTGGTCTTGCCTTTGTTTTTGCACTTAATACTTTTATCCCCCTTCTTTAAAACTCTGCTAAAAAGCATGTAACATAAAGTTTACCATGGCAACATTTCTTTTTGCACTGAAATACATTTTATAAAAAAGATATACTGTGAAGATCCCTACAAGTAGTCCAACTGGGTAAATAAGTGATTTCAGCAGATTTTCGGTTCCGTTAACAACATGGAGGGACCTGGAGGGCATTGTGCTGAGTGAAATAAGTCAGACAGAGAAAGACAGTATCACTATCATGTGGTGATATCCTTACCCAAGGTAAGGATAAAGAAGGTTTTTATTGATTGTTTTTAGAGGGAGAAGAAGAGTGTGTGGGGGGAAGCATTTATGTGAGAGAGAAACATGGATCAGTTGCCTGCCACACGCACCCCGACGCACCCAACAGGGGATGGAACCCTCAACCTTTCTAGTGTATTGGGTGACACTCCCAATGGAGCCACCGGTCAGGGTGCCGGCAATTCTTAAGACATGGTTTATGGATTGATAACTTATGTCACAATCATCTGATGTGTTTTTTAAAATTACAGATGCCTGGCATTAGCACAGGCCTGTGGAGAAATGAAAGAACTTGGGAGCTCCCTGGTCATTATGGCTCAGGTGTTCGGAGTGTCGTCCCGTGAACTGAAAATGCCTGAGGGTTTGATTCTGGGTCAGGGCACATGCCTTGGTTGCAGGTTCAGTTACCAGTTGGGGCATGTGTAGCAACTGGTTGACGTTGCTCTCCCTCCCTTCCTCTCTCTAAAATCAGTAAGCATGTCCTCAGGTGAGGCTAAAAAAATTAAGAAATTGGGAGCTTGATAGGAAATAGTATGGAGTAGGAAGCCTTTCTTGTACTTTGAAATATTAGAAAGCTTCTACTCTATTTACTCATCAATCAAACCTGAGGGTAAAGGCATTTTCATCATTCAAAGCAGAAGCTAAAAGGGGAGAAGAAAAGAAATGGTCCTGGCAAGGTGGGTTGGGGCCAAATTATAGGGTCAGAAGTTGAACCATTCACTGGTATTTAATAATATGGACAAGCCACCTAATCTTTCCAGGTATCAATTTCCTCTTCTTTATGAGGGCTCAGCACACTCTGAAGCCAGGTTGCCTGGGCTGGAAATTCTGGCTCTGCTACTTACTAGGTCTATGACTTTGTACAAGTTACTTAATTCTCTGTGCCTCAGACTCATTATCTGTCAGATGGGGATGATATTGACCCCATAGTGTGTTGTGGCTTAGATTGAATGAGTAAATGTATGGAAAACCCTTAGAACCATACCTGGCACATGAAAGGGGTATGGAAGTCTTAACTTCATCCCTTCCAGTTCTACTGACTTCCAATTCTTGAGATTTTGACTCATCATCAGATGCTATACCGAACTCTAGAACACAGGAATTGCTTAAGGGGACTCAAGAAAGTCTGTAATTAAAATCCATGAGTCAGTTTTCAGTGCTACCATGCCCATAGTTTTGTGAGATTATGAACTGAAATTGGGTGGTGCATTTCCCTGTAGACACAGTGCACACGTGTTTTCTTCTGAAACTTGTTTAGAAGATGGCCTTAGAGGCTTAATTAAGACTGTAAACCCTGGCTTCTACTCGCTGTCTCCCTGGGATGCTAGTATTCGTTTACAAAGGTTGAACTGATGCCTTGTACTTGCTTTCTTACAGTTCTTTTGTTTCTGATGTTGACAATGTCTGGCTACTGTTTTGACATGTACTTACTGTAAAACACCGTGTGCAACAGAGAGTAATGGTGTAAAATAGCACATGTACGTTTGAGGGTTGCAGCAGCGAGCCCCAGAGAACAGCTTTTCTAAAGTCCTAACAGTTGCTTATGCATTAAGTCCCATTGAAAGAAGAACCTAAAACCAGGGATAGTGGGCTTCAGTATAAGAAAGTCAGTAAAAAGTAAGCCTAGACATTTTATCTTGATTTAAAGATTATTCAAACCATTTTTTCCTCAATAAATAAAACAGATATGAGCAGAACTACTCTGCTTGAAGTTAAAGTAAGTGGCCTGGAGCCGTGCCTACCCGCCCCCTTCTCACTTACTCGCAGTCCTCTCAGCTGGCCTCTGAGTCACGTCTAAGGACTCTGGGACTCCTAAGCTCAAAGTTTAGAAATGAGTGATATAATTGATTGTAAGTTCATTTTGCCTTTAGTATTTTATTTATTTTCCCTAATAAAATTGTGAATTGCATAAAGTGAATTCCTTGTTTGTGGGTTCTGGATCCTACAATTTATTTGGTTTATCTTTATTGCTCTCTTTCCCGCTTTGGGATACACTCTTGCTCTTAATTCTCCTTCTGATGGCAAACGTCAGCACTTGGTATACTTCCTATGGAGGTAAGGTTGCTCTGGGGGCAAGTATGCCTAACAGCTCTCTACTTGAAGAAAAGAAAAACCTTATGAACTCAAACTTGAATTAAACTTGTATCTTGAGGCCTGGCTGATATGGCTTAGTGGATTGACCGCCACCTGTGAACAGTAAGGTCACTGGCTCGATTCCTAGTCAGGGCACATGCCTGATTTGCAGGGCAGGTCCCTGGTTGGGAGCATGTGAGCAGCAACCAATTGTGTCTCACACATTGGTATCTCTCTCCCTCTCAATCTCTCTCCCTTTCCTTCCCTCTATAAAAACAAGCAAGCAAGCAAACAAAAAACCTCTATCTTGACCCCGGGCTGTTTCTTTTTATTCATTTAGATCCGTCTGCCTCTGCTCATTCCAAGGTGGTCATCTTCACAGTGAACTCTTTGGGAAATTCTCAGTCCTACCTTGATGTGGTACAGAGAAATGTGGATATGTTCAGAGCCCTCGTCCCAGCTCTGGGACATTATAGTCCAAACAGTGTCCTGCTTGTTGCATCTCAGCCAGGTAAAGATTTCATTTTAAATGAATTTGATGGTCCAGCGCATCAGTAGAATTGCCATTACTGATAAAAGTCATAAAACTAGATTATAAAGGGACGACTAGGGTATTCAGTTAAATTGCTCTCATAATGAACAGTATAGTATTTCCATATCCTGTCATCCAGTGACTTCTTATGGCTGACATTAACTAGAAGGTCACAAATCACAATTTTTAATGTAGTACTACTATTACTATGTGCCAGGTTGTTAGCCATGCTTTCTTCGGTGAGAAAATAATTCCTCCCAAGAGAAAAATGCAGTGACTTAAGTGAAAGATCTTTTGTTAATTCTGAAATGTCATAAAATGTTAGTGAGCATACCAGAGTACATTTTTAACAACTTGTATTTTAAATTGTTTGAAGGTGTTTTATCTAAAAAAATAAATATTTTCAAAGAGTTAGGTAGGGTACTGGACTCAAATTGGTGATCTCATTTTTTTAATGTTCCCAATATAGGAGTACGGTATGCGTTCACTTGTTCTCCTGTAGTAATTGGCTGCGGGACACTGGTCTCTTTAATTCCTTACATCCTTTGGCATGAAAGAAGAAAGCAGTTGTGTTTTGTTCCTATACTGCAGAGTGGTGGTATGCAGATCAATATTTTAATTTAAAGATAGAAATTTAGCCCAACATAGATGTAAAAGAGAACTTGACCAATGGAAAAAAATCTTCTAGTTTTTTGTACCCGGATTTCATCCTTCTTGCTTAATGATTCTAGGAAATTATTTTCTACTCTTAACAATTTATATTTAATAGCAGAGTTATGTTAAATTGTGCTGGAACCTTGTTCATGTTTTTAATATACATTAAAAGTATATTATGCCTTATTGTGCATTTAGGATCCAAGAAGAGTGCATACAAGTTCTAATATGCTTAGTAAAATAATAAATATTTGTGTGTGAACTGGGCTAGAAGTATATTTTTTAAAATCTTTGCATGTTCCTCGTGTGCAATATTTAGTGGAGGTCATGACCTACGTGACATGGAAACTGAGTGCATTTCCTGCAACTCGAGTGATTGGAATCGGATGCAATCTGGACTCACAGAGATTACAGTATATTATTACAAATGTCTTGAAGGCACAAACTTCAGGAAAACCAGTGTGGGTTATTGGTGAGCAGGGAGAAGACAAAGGTAAGAAATACATTTTTGTTAGTTATATTGATAATCTGTCACTAATGGCCATGATATTCAGACACATCTCAGCGCTCAAGAATTATGGAGTTTAGTTGGTTTTTGCTCCATATTTGAGTGCCTTCTTTGTTACATGCCCTGTGTTGTGAATAGAGACCTCACACTTGTTATTCTGATTATATTTACTTTTCTATAAATTTACAATTAGATGAGACTCCTTAGTCAGGTTTTATATTTCCTCAAAACTTTCTTAAAATTTTAAGCTTCCTGTATGCTTTGATGTCAGATGTTAACAGCTGTTACGTCTAGGTTAGAGGCAACTTTTAAAAATCTGTACTTTTCTGTGTTTCCTCATTTCGTCATTATGGATATGTAGTATCTGTATAAACTTTTAAAATTTATTTATTTTTAGAGAGAGGGGAAGGAAAGGAGAAAGAGTGGGAGAGAAACATCAATGTGTGGTTGCCTCTCCTGCGTCCCCTTCTGAGGACCTGGCCTGCAACCCAGGCATGTGCCCTGACTGGGAACCAAATCGGCAACCCTTTGCTTCACAGGCCCGTGCTCAATCCACTGAGCTACACCAGCCAGGGCTTTTTATAATTTTTAAGAAAATTATGTTAGTGAAATACAGCAGTATTTTAAATCTACATAAATCTGTTCTGGTTACCTAGAAAGTTCACTGCCAGAGTCAGGCTATAGAATAAATCTTTATAAAACCTGACAATGTAATTCAAGCAGAAATACTTTTCAGGTTCAAAATGCCCCCTGACACTAAACACTAATCAGTAGGACCCTAGGAAAGGGTAGTGAACAAGAACTTGGAGCAGATGCATTAGAGTAACGAATGCTTAGGGGTTTAAACAAACCTGAGACCTGAATTTTACTTGCTACTCTATTTGTGTTCTGGTCTGTGTCAATCTTTGGCTTATCTGATTATTGCAAATCTCCCAGTTAGTTTTCTCTTTCCCCCCAGGCTACCAAATTAATAATGATATTAGCCAAAACTTACACAGTGTTTATTATATGCTTTCAAATATTAATTCAATCTTCCTAAATCATATTCCTCTTTTCAAAAAAATGCACTGGCTTCTTCTGACCAAACCATTAAATTCCTTTGCTTGGCATTCAAGGAATCCCAAAATAGAGCCCTAATTTTCTTTCCCAGTGGTAGGTATGGAGGTAGCCATGTCATTAAAGAGCTGGGAGGGACCCAAGGGCCCATCAGTTGCTTAGGGAGCCAGAAATGGGCACAAGATGGCAAGAGTAGAGGTTCCTGGGGAGCCTGTAGCTTTCCCGGTCAAAGAAGGACTAGAACCCGGGTCCCATGCCTCATAGCCCCACCCCAGAGCTTCGCTTCAGCCACAGGGACCCCAGCCCACTGCATTTCCCTCCCTCTCAGCATATTTAAACCTCATCCTTCAAGCTCTCAGTCAGGACCCCCTTATTTGCACTCTGAAGTTTTTTCTGAAATCTAAAAATCACCTCACTACACAGTGATTTTTTTTCATTCCTTGGAGCTAAAAGTTATTGTTCGCTGCATGGTGATTAACCATTAATTGTCTCATGATGTTTATTCTTTTGTGAAACTGCTGTTTATCCTGATCCAGTTTGAATTTTGTATGTGCACCTTCTCCTTATAAAAAGTATAAGTTATTAAGCTGTTCTAGTTGAAAAAATCATACATTCACATTGTAAAAAAATTAAATAGTACAAAAAGACATACAGTGAAAAAATGTCCCTTCTATGCCAGACACCCAGTTCCCTTTCTCTAAAAGCAAACGCAGTTACCGGTTTCTGGTATAATCTTAGAGGAATGTGTTGTGAATAGACAGGTGCATACGTGAAATGTACATCATACATTATTCTTTACCTTGCTGTTTTACTTATTGGTATGACTCGAAAATGATTACTACATATATACATATGTATGTGTATGTATATATATATCTCATTCTTTTTAACTACTGGGTATACCAAAATTTATTTAACCAGTCCCCTGAATAAGTGACAATTTTTTAGTGAATTAGAACATTTCACAATATGATCGCATTAATATCACAAACTGTACAGAGAAAATAAAGGATGATCTCATAATAACTAAATCTACAACACTGCGTTGGCTGCTGTTAGAGCTACTTAGATGAATAAGAACCCAACCCTGTCTTTAGGAAGCTTAGAGACAGGTCCAGGGGAAGTAGAATGAAAGCACAGGAAAGGATATGGTCATTTTGTCCTGAGAATGGGACAGAATGGGAACTAGAATAGAGGGATGTAGGTGCATGTGAATTGGGGTTACTAAGTATACTATGTAATGTTTGACACATGTAAAAGAATGCATATAATGTATATGTATGTTTTAAAACAGAATAATAGAATATACATTCATGAATCCACACTCAGTTATTAAGAACATTACTGATACCACTGAAGCTGACATAATTATGTCCTGCCCAGACCATCTCCCTATCTTCCTTCTAGATACCACCGCCAGGTCGTTTTTCATCCTGTCTTCTGCTTTGTTTCACAGATAAGTTATGTCCTGGGATAGGTACACTTAGGTCAGCCTTGAAGCCAGAAATGGATTAGAGGCTCCCTCTGCTGGTTTCATGTGTAGATATGAGCTGATTATATTTTTAAGTGATACGACCACAAGAGCAATTATAATTATTATTTTACATTGAGTAGCTATTATGTGTATTAAATGGTTCACATATCTTACCCTGAGAAGGACGTGGTGGTTTTCCAAATTAATAGATGAGAAAGCTGAAAACTAATTTGCTTGTAAGGGCATCTAGTAAGGGCAAAACTGGAGTTTGAACCCTGATCTGCTCCAAAGCTGTGCTTTTGCTCGCTGTGACTTAATTAGATAATTTACCTACAGCACTTACTACAGTAAATTAGCACTGAGTAAATGCTCAGTGAGTGGTAGCTGTCACTATAGTCATCAGCAAGATGGTGGTGAAAACTGACAGAAGGACATGTAAAACTACACTTTGAAGTAAAGCAACATTAGGGTTTGGAAACATAAGAATAGTAGGTGCGTAAGTAAAATTATTCTTTCCAAGTATTTCTGAGACAAATGACAACTACAGTCACATGACATACAAGACCCTTTAGGATCTGTTTCCTCCTTCCTTCTCCAGCTTCACCTTCTGCCCTTCTGCCAGGCCATCTGTGCTAGTCAGACGGTCACCTTGCAGTTCCTGAAGGGCTCGTGCACTCTCATGCCTCCTTGCCTTTGCACCTGATGCTTCCTTTCCCTGAACATTCATTCACTTGACTAATTCCTGCTTGCCCTTCAAGACTAGGCTTGAGTGTCACCTCTCCCAGGAAGCCTTCCTGAATTCTCCTGGTTAAGTAAGTTTATGCCTCTATTATAAACATTATCACGCTATGTTATAACTGCATATTCACCTGTCTGTTCACCCCACTGAGACTGTAAGTTCCTTAGAATGGTCACAATAAATGAATGAAATGATCGATCTTGAAATGAATGAATTTCAGATTCAGATTCATTTCAGTTTCAAATGAATGAATGATCTTGACACTGTCTTGTGACCAAAAGTCATTCGTATTATGGCCCACCAAATTAGACAGTCAGCAAAACATGGACTTCAGAGCAGCTCTTTTCAGCTGTGACACTGAAATCACATGTGAACTGCAGATCACTCATTCAGTGGTGTTGCAGAAATCCAAGGCTGAGCCTCAGAACAGAGTGTTTGGTCATCTGCTTTGGGCATCAGTCTTCTCGAAGGGGTAGGTGTTATATGTGATGGAAAAATGCTATTCCATGGTTGTTTTTCATTAAAATTCTATGATTCAGAGGGTTACTGTTCTTGAGAAGTAGAACCAGAAAGATTAGGGTTGATATTAGATATAACATTTGAAAGGGTTCCTTAAACTAGGATGGATTTACGTTTAGGAAGTTTGACGGGCTGAGCAGTAAATGAACAAAAAATGAAATAATTAAGTCCATCTAAACTTAATTTAAAATTCTAATGACTATCACAAGCAAATGTGAACATTTGGACATTTGAAAGTAGTGAAACTTTCTTCCTCTTTCCAAGTGTTCTTTTCTCATGGCTTAGAGAGGAAAGATGAAGAACTTGATCATTGTGTAATATATAATGGTAGTAATATTCATAATTAATTCCCAGGTGTTGTGGCCTTTGTCTCTTTTTATTCCTACCTTGCCCCTTTTATTCATCTCTCCAGTGTATATAAAGGCTGTATTTCATTTAACATTTTTCTGCAATTTCCTATATACTGTGAATATAGTAATAATGTACCAATATTTTTCTGGAAAGTAAGTCATGTATAATCCTTCTGTTCAAGTAAAACAGTTTTTAAAGTCCCTCAGTCTGTCCACATTTATTTACATTTTTCAAAAAACAATTTTTGGTTTCTGTGTTTTTCAACTTAATGCAAATACGTCTTCCTCTTTGTTGCAAAATACAATTATGGACGGTGTGTGAGGTCAGTTCTGTATTATCTCCTGAGCATTCTTTTTAAAAAAATACATTTATTGAACATATAAACATAAATGTGTTTAAATATGTTAAACATAAACATGTTTTAGAAGGGGATAGAGAGAGAAAGAGAAGCAGAAACACTGATTGGTTGCCTCCTGTATGCACCCCAACCGAGAGTGAACCTGCAACCTAGGTACGTGCCCTGGCTGGAAATCAAACCCCCTGACCTTTGATGTACAGGAAGATGCTCCAACCACTTGAGCCACACTGGCAAGGGCTCTCCTGAAAATTCTTTACCGTGATAAAGAATATGTGTGAGAGGACACAAAAGATGAACAAATGGTCCCTGCCCCCCAGAAGCTTATAATCAATTTGAGGAAGGGAGGCATCTGGATACATTTGGTGTTCTTTGTTACTGGCACGTCTCTAAATGGCCTAATTTTGAATGCAGTTTACAGACTTGCATTTTAAACATAAGATATTCTTATATATCTGAGTGTGTTTTTGTTTTCTTACTCAAATGAAGATTTGTATCAAAGAATGTCTTCACACAGATGAGAAACAGGTGAATATTAGAAAGGTTTAAAAATGTTGACTTTCTGATATGTCCCCTAAAGCAAGGGATATAAAGGAAAGAATAAACAAATGGGACCTCATCAAATTAAAAAGCTTCTGCATGGCTAAAGAAAACAGCATTAAAATCAAAAGAGAACCAACTATATGGAAAAACATATTTGCCAATGATACCTCAGCAGGGGTTTGATCTCCAAAATATATAAAGAACTCACACAACTCCACTCCAGGAAGACAAAAAAAAAACAATTAAAATGGGCAACAGACTTGAACAGACACTTCTCTAAGGGGGTCACACAGAGGGCCCAGAGACATATGAAAGGTGCTCAGCATCACAAGCCATCAAAGAGATGCAATTAAAACTACAATGAGATACCACCTGACACCAGTCAGAATGGCCATCATAAACACATCAACAAACAAGTGTTGGAGAGGATGTGGAGAAAAGTGAATCTAGTGCACAGTTGGTGGGAATGCAGACTGGTGCAGTCACTGTGGAAAATAGTATGGAATTTCCTCAGGAAACTAAAAATGGAACTGCCATTTGACCCAGCAATTCCACTGCTGGGATTATACTCTAAGAATCCTGAAACACCAATTCAAAAGAACCTATGCACCCCAATGTTCATAGCAGCACAATTTACAATCGCTGAGTGCTAGAAGCAACCTAAATGCCCATCAGTAAATGAGTGAATCAAAAAACTGTGGTACATTTACACAAAGGAATACTATGCAGCAGAGAGAAAGGAGCTTCTACCCTTTGTGACAGCATGGATGGAACTGGAGAGCATTATGCTAAGTGAAATAAGCCAGGCAGTGAGGGACAAATACCATATGATCTCACCTTTAACTGGAACATAATCAACAAAAGAAAAAAGCAAACAAAATATAACCAGAGGCATTGAAATTTAGAGCAATCTAACAAGAGCTGGAGGGAGTGGGGAGGGGACAATGGGAGAAAGGGTTTTCAGGAACTACTATTATAGGACACATGGACAAAACCAAGGGGGAGGGTGGCAGCAAGGGAGGGAGATGGGTTGGCTGGGGTTGCAGGGAGTGGTGGGGGAGAAATGCAGACAACTGTAATTGAACAACAATAAAATAATTTTAAAAAACCTAAGAACTAAATAAATAACCTTATACAACTATAAAAATAAAAGTAAATTTAACTTAATTTTTAAAAAGTTGATTTTCAATTCAATATTAAAATGTGATATAAATATTGAGTTCACATGCTCAGCTTTGAATTTTCAATTGTCTTTATAATTGATGTACTAGAGGAAATGGGCAGCACTAATGATGCCCTCAGAAAACAGAACCTCACCTGTCTTAACCATTGTGGAAATCTAGTCCAGAGCAGGTGACCAAATTACTCCCCACCTGGTGACAGAGATTAGTCTGTGTGGTTCCCAGCTGAACAAATGTCATGTGTTTGCAGTACTTGAGGTCCAATTATTCACAGCTTGCTAAGGAAAGAAAGCTTTCTTTGGCCTTGGTAGAGGGCCAAATGGCCCTGGTAGAACTGTTGTTGATGAGAGAGGACAGGGGAGTGGGCTATAAGTAGACATTGGGGATCATGTGTTTTGGGGATCCCAGCTCAAAGTCTTTCTTACTGCAGGTCGTCAGTATAACACACCAGTGTCATCAGTGGAAAATGTAGCTACTGCTAGAAGGGGGGAAATGTTTATTTAATGTTTAATACAGGTACCCTCGACTTCACACAATCATTTATCACACCTTAATCCTGTGAAAGTTACTGACAAAATATAATTAATTTTTTATTTACTTCCAGTGACCAAATGGGATGGCCAAGAAGAAGTAATGAGTCATAACAACGCTCAGGTGCAGCTGTCCACCAGGTAACACTGAGCGTGACTGTGCGTTTCTCCAACTAACAGGCCTGTCCCTCATTGTTGACACGAGCTGTTTACACGGCATGTGCTTTCGAGGCTCCCGTGGACAGAACTAGCTAGTACAGACAAATCCTAAAGTTCAAGAGAACGGTGTTTCTGTTCTTTGATTTCTTATCTGCAAGTGGATCCAAGAGTGCTTTGCAAACTCTAAGACACGCAGTTGGCACTTAAAGGGCAGAACAGGTTCCTGATTTGTAGGCAGAGATTTGCTGCTTCTATTACTTAAACATCTGAGGATATTGAGAATTTTCTGAAATGTTGAAGAGAATTTCTGCATACCATTAAAAATGAATATGTATTTATTAATCACTCATAAATACATTTAGAAATTAGTCCAACACGGATGGATAAGCCATGTTGTAAGTTCAGGCAAAAACAAAGGGTGAAGTGCAGATCCTTGTATCTTGTGCTTTATTCAGAGGCCTTCCAGGGGTCTGTAGGTTGGGCTCTCTATATTTTCATGGCTTTTTTTTTCACCATCACATAATGACATACTTTCCTGCAGTCTAAGTGGTGGAGATTTTTAGCTTTTTAAACCTTCAGCATATGGCCCTGACTGATGTGGCTCAGTGGGTTGGGCATTGTCCCACAAACCCAAAGGTGACCAGTTCAATTCCAGTGGGGGCACGTGCCCGGGTTGCCGGCCAGGTCCCTGGTTGGGGGTGTGTGAGAAGCAAAACCAGTCAATGTTCCTGATTGATGTTTCTCTTGTACAGTGGTGGTTCTCTGTCTCTTTCTCCTTCCCATCCCTTCACTCTATAAATAAATAAGTAAGTAAGTAAATAAATAAATAAATCATTTCCCAAAAAACCTTCAGCTTATGGTTTTTAGAATAAAACCACCGGAAAGACTATTCTTTTATTGAGAAGAATAATGTGTTGTATAATCCACTCTAACCTGATTCTTTATATATTCTTTACAGCTTTTAAAAGGAAGAAATTCAAACATGATTTTAAAATTTATATCTTTTTTTTAGTTACAGAAGAATGTATACTATTATAAAACTTTACTGTAGAAATCTATAAAATAGAAAGTGAAAAGCTGGGGTAATTCCATTCTTGAGAAGCTATCACTTTTAACTGCTTAAATGCCCATATGTTCAAATATTTTTACAATGCTTCTGTAGACATCATTTAAAAAATTATTTTTATATCATTTTTATGTCATTTATATTATCCTATAACTTGATTTGTTTCATTAGTAATAAATCTTGGACATTTTTTCCATATTGTACCTATAAATCTATCCTTCTCAAGAGTTACATGGCACTACATTTGGTAGTTATTTATTTAACCAGTCACTTTTTAAAAAATATTTTATTTAGTTTTTATTTTCAGAGGGAAGGGAAGGGAGGGAGGGAGAGAGGCCGAGAAGCACCGGTGGGTGAGAAAAGCATTGATCTGCTGCTTCTCCCAGGCCCCCAACCTGCGACCTGGCGGCAACCCGGGCTCGTGTCCTTCCTGAAATCCAGCCGGTGACCTTTCTTTCTACAGGATGACGCCCAACCCACTGAGCCAAGCTGGGCAAGGGCTACCCAGTCACTTCTGATGAATTGTTTCCAGAATTCTTTCTGTCTGAAGCAAGGCAAACATGCTTACTGGTTTATCTTCACACGCTTGAGCACGTTGCTGTAGGACAGGTTCCTGGAAGGGGGATTTCTAGGGCAGGTGTGCAAGGTCTCCCCCCTAACAGGTAACTCTCACCAGCAGTTACAGGAATGCCCATTTCTTTGTAGCTTCTCTAAAAGTGGTGACCAATTTTTTAAATATTTGCCAATTTTGCTGGTGTATTTATTATTTTAACTCATATCTAGTTAAATAGTAATGGTGGTGGTGAGCATCTTTTTATGTTATTATTTCCCTCTGTGAACTGCCTGTTTGACATTTTAAGAAAAACCCTAATCATTAGTTTATCTGTAGGTTTTCCTAATAATTACTCTATAGTTCTTATTTCTGCATTATAAAAATATGTAATTAATACCTTAACTAGAAAGTAAACCTAAATGTGTATTTTGTTCATTTTCTGAGGTTGTTTTTTTGTTTTTGTTTTTTCATAACCTAGAGCCATGGAATTATTAAGGGAAAAAGGTCAAAGATCCTGGTCTGTTGGACTATCAGTAGCTGACCTGGTTGACAGTCTTATAAATGATAAAAAGAAAGTGCATTCTGTATCAGTTTTAGCAAAGGTAATTCCTATTCTCATTCTCTCATCATATTTTTAAAATTTTGTTACTAGTATAAAACCAGAAAAAGTGCTATTCACCCTGTAACCGAGTGTCTTCAATAGCACCAGCTTTTCAAGTGACATCTGGGAGGAGGCAGCTCAGTCTAAGCCCTATCCCACTGGCCGTGGGAGTTCTGGACTCCTGCCGCGTTTCTCCTCCCCACATGTAACTTCAGGGAATTCCCAGGAAGCATTCATGTATTCCATAAACATCTCGCGGTTGTCATTTACCACCTCCGGCAGCCAGGTCACCCCAGACCGCACTGGTCATCAGTCTGCACTCTCCAGTTCAGCATGTCCTTACCACTTCATCCCAAGTGTAAAGTCCCTAAAGGGCAGCTAAGACCAGACACAAATGTTTAACCAAATATTCTGGAAAACGTAGGAGTACCAGGAGAAATAAAACACGGAAAGGAAAATGTAACGCAGATTTGCGTGTTTCACTGCACCCAGGGCCCAGGCTGTGCCCCTCCCTGGGAATCTACTCTGATGCCTTGGCCCCCCGTCCTGCTCCCCGCATTGCAGGGGGCCAGCTCCCTTCCCACGAGGGGCACGTTTCTGACCAGTCCCTCCTGTCTCACAATTTCTGAAACAATAGCTTGAGTTCAGAAAACAAATGAACAATTTTTTTAAAAAGTTCAACTGTATCACTTGGTACTAGGGCTATAAAAGCGAGAAAGTAACCATACTTATGATACTAACTTCTTTGCAGTGATTCAGCTGTATTATAATCTAATTTTATTCATTTCAGGGATATTATGGTATAAATAGTGAAGTGTTTTTAAGTTTGCCTTGCATCCTTGGAAGCAGTGGGGTATCTGAAGTCATCAGAAGCACAGTGAACGAGGACAGAGTGACTGAGAAGCTCCAAGGCAGTGCATCATCGCTCCACGATCTCCAACAGCAGCTAAAACTTTGAGCCTAAAGTTCAGAGTTACCTGAAAGGAAAGGTCATTTAGTTTTGCCAACACATATAGGGTTGAGAAATTCTGTATCTTATTACTTATCCTTACAAACTGCTTGGTTAAGGTAGATGGTTTTTTGCTTAGTTTTGTAATTTAAATTCTTAGGGAGTTACATAATGGGGGGGTCCAATTTTCTTTATTGTTCTTGGGATATCTGTATCATTTTTTAAACTTGTAGCAGAGATAAACACTGCAGTATGCATCATGTAAAATTCTGTATCCTCAACTAAAAGCACATTCAGCACTTTGGGAATATTTTGAAAGTAATATATTTTCAGAAGACCATTACTCCCTGACAGTTACAGTAAACGTGATGACCTGAAGGTCCATTCTGGATTTAGGAAATCTGTGCTAAGTATGCATTCAAAGGATCCACAGTTCAAGGTATTGCTTCCTCTTTAAAATACAGTTGGCAGTAATGGTAGTAAAGTATTTTGTTTTCCCTCTTCAATTAATTAGCTACCAAATATGGAAAATAATTTATATGTACTTTAAAATAGTAAAGGGGAAAATGAAAAAATTTTTAAATATATGAAGACAAAGTATAGTTTAACTTCCATTGGGACTGTCCTTTTTGAAATTTTTTATAATCTCTTTCTGGACTATATCCGATCTCTAATATCATAAACTAACTCACTGTAATATTAGTAGAATCATAGAGAAATGTGCATTTTGATGGTGAACAAAAGCCAAGCAGTTTAGTTTAAAGCTGAAACATGAGGGGGAGAGGCTAGACGGACTGGTTATTCTGAGCAGACCCTTTAATGACTCCAAGAGAAATGATCAGAGTCCGTCCACTTTGATGCTGGGTCGACAACAGTACGTTCGCATGCGAAAGATGGCCTGTTGTCACTAAGGTGGCGTGCAACTAACAGTGACAGCTAACATCAGCACTTCTTCTATTTCAGGAAGTGTGATGAGCACTTTATTAGTTTACTGAATCTTCAACAGTAGCCCATCGAGGTAGGGACTGTTATCATTATCATTTTATAAAGCAGGGAATTGAGCTTTAGTGACCAAGATCTCATGGTTGAAGGGTGTTTATCCACATAACTTCTCTTTTTTCTAACTGCTAGAAGAGGGAAAAGACCTAATAGCAAAAATAGTCACCACCACAGTAAAGCTGGGATTCTCTACTCTTCTGTTCCCACATAGGAGCTGACTTTTTTCCAACATTGTTTTTAGAAACATTAATTCCCTGACTTCCCAGACTTGCCCTCAGCAAGCAGCAGGGGGTGGGCAGTATGCACCGAAGTAGGTGTGTATTTATTTGGTCATTCAGGGAGTATTGACTGGGAGCCTACTATGTAGCAGGCACTGCAGTTTTAGGTACTCCAGATACAGTGGTGAGCAAACCTGGACTAGGTTTGTACAAGCCCTTGTGTTCCTTATAATTTAGTATGGGAGACATAATAATCAAATGTCACAAATAAATGTGCAATTGAAGGTGTAGTAATACTGTGAAGAAGTCCAGGTGCTTTGAAAGCACATCCTAAGTGAATCCATACCTGGTCAGAGAGAGGTAGGAGCCCAGTGGTCTATAAGGGGAGGTATATCCTAGACAGAGAGGAAACAGTCAAACTAATGTTGATTTAGTATAATAACAGATGCTTATAAAGATGAGCTTAAATCATTAAGGAAAGGTGAAATTGTATCACATCCTATGTTTAAGAAAGTGGTAAGGTATTTAATATGTTTGGAAGGATTTGAACCAGAATTAACTAGTATAAAATCCTTAGACACTTGAAGAGAGGAGCTTTAGTTCTGTGTAAGTTCACTAGATGGAAAGATTATTTCGGTGTTACTCTAAAAATGTATCCTCATTGCCCATTTGCATGAGGTAGGAAAGTAAAACTGAAAGAACAATTGCTGTTTTTTAGAAACACAACTAGCCTTTTTAAATATCAGACATCTAATGAGAAATTAGGTAATTTCTACTATTTAATATGCTCTTAAACAATAACCTAACTACAAGACACTGTATTATAGATGAATTGCCAAGAATTCACTACATTAATTATAAAAGAATCATGTCAGTACAAATACCTACTGAACATCTGTTATTCGAAGTACTGTGTTAGAATCTGAATATCCAAGCAGTAACAGCTCTTGCCCTACAGAAGCCCATTGTGGCAGACTCCAGCCAGCAGAGTCAGCGGAGTCCGCCTGTTGTGGCTGACAGTGAGAATAAATGCACAGGTGACAACAATCCTGTGGAGAAAAAGGGAACAGGCACGGCTACTCTTTTAAGGGGAGAGTGTCGATGGATGCCTCTGCCTACTCCCTCAAGAAGAGAGCGTGTCGACCCTTGCCTAGACAGGCTTTTATTGTTTTCCTGGGGTCTTACATCAGCGAAAGATTTATTATCTATTACATAGAATATTATTGTCTACATTTTAGGAACAATCAAGGAAATGAAAATAACATGCAGAGGGGAATGGCAATGAGCTGATTAGCTCTGTCCTTGGGAAAATTCACACAGCCTTTGGAAGTTACCTTGAAGATAGACAATACACATTTGTTGTTTTAGACCAGGGTGGAGTTTTAGCAAGAGCAAGCCATAATGGTCTGTATGCATTTTCTAGGCCTGATTCCCACGGGAAAACTCAGTTTGAAGGTCTGGCTCCTGCCTACCATTTCGCTTCTGTAGGTTTTCCATACAGAGCTGAGTCACATTGGCCAGACTTAAACAAACTGGTCCCCTACAGCCCATGATATAGAAGTAATTCTATCAGATAGCTCCTCGAATGTTGAATATTATCAATCATGTTTTCTACATTCCATATAAAAGTCGAAAAGCAGTACCCCCACCACCTCACTATGATTTGGTGATAATTGACACTCATGATGCTGCTATTAAGTTTCACTTTTTTATTTTTCCCCAAATCATGCAATGTCCCTTGTTATGATTTTTAGTGGAGCTTGAATTAAAGCGACTTTGATATTGTAGCAGAAATAAATGTTTTATTTTTCCAGTTTTACATTGTAAAGTGAATAAAATTAACTTTGACTTTAAAATCTCCAGAAGATTCCTAATTTGTTGAATGGAAGGAAATTTATTCAAATTGAAGAGGAAGATTCATATAATTCTGTGGTTCCCAAGATATTTAGGCGGTTTTTTTTTTGTTTTGTTTCAAGTATCTTCAATGCAAAATGAAGAGACTGGATTTTGTTGTTTTCAAGCTTTAAAAAGATTATTTTTAGCAAGAAAACTTTTAAAGCAATGTATTACCTGCACTCCCTCAATCGATAAAAGCAAGGTTGCTCTAAGTGAAGGAACTCCTGAGTAAGCTGTGGCTCTAAGAATAATCTGAAAACCACATTGGAGACAATTGTACTTAACAAGAATAAAAAAAGTTAGAAAAGCACATTGCTTTTAAAAACATGAAAGAGGTACAGTGGCAAGATAGAATGCCATGCAGTTTTGTTTGACTGGAGCTGTGCGCTTTACTAACATGTCCATATTAAAAAAAATACCTATTGGAGTAATTTTTATTGGTGTATGTGTGCAACAATTTGTAATAATGCTTCCACGTGGTTTCAGTTATGACTTCTGAGTATGTGACCTTCACTGAGGTGCTAGTTTAGAAGGGAATTAATGCTACAGCCTCTTCATTAGCACTAGGCTAAAATCATCCAAATTACCATACATCATTAAACCAAATTTTACGCTGTATTTAATGACATTGTACTTAAAATGGGTGATATGCAATGACCAGCATGACTAGTTCTTCATGAATGACTATGAAGAACTCTTATTGGTGGTAGAAATGCAATTAAGATCAAGTTCTCTTGTGCAGCACACAGCAATGAGCATCTGAAGATAAGCCTGCCCCTCAAAGACTTGGACTTGGACACAAACACAGTGCAAGGTAAAATGCAGCCTGTATTATCATTTATGTCTGGGTTCAGAGCAGAATTTCTGACTCAGGGGAAAGGTTTCCTGAAGAAATAACTCCCATGCTTTCTGTGAAACCAGTGCTCTGCACTTTTCCTCGTTAATGTAGTATTAAGAACTTTTAAGCTTCAAACAAAAACCCTGATAATCAGAGAGACCCTGGGCATCATCTTGGAGCTGTTAAAAAACTATGGCCAGAGCTAAACATGCACTTGCCTCCTAATATGACAAGGGCAAGTCAGTGGCAGAGTTTTCTGACTCCCAGTCCAGTGCCCTCCCATTTAATGAATCGGTCATTCAAGCTCATTGACAAGACCTTCCCAGTGTATGTCCCCTCCCTGCACCTGCTCCCCTACTCCAAGAGCAACTGTGAACACCTGACGATATTGTCCCAGCCCAGAGTTTCCACCGTCGGAACGAGCAGCCCTCATCATTGGGACCCGACCGCACCCGAGCACCGGGCGAGTGGTAACAAACCCTGCTTCAGGTATTACCTCGGAAGTGACGTAAAGGAAGCGGAAGGTCTGTCGTGGCTGCCGACTTCCTGTTGTTAGAGGCGGGGGGTGGGGGCCTGGCCACTTGGTGTGCTGCTGTGTGGGGCGGCCTGGGGCAGCCCCGGAGCGGCTGACCCCCTGCCTACGGGGATAGAAGCCGCAAGGTGGCCGCCATGGCGGTGTCGGAGAGCCAGCTCAAGAAGATGGTGTCCAAGGTGAGGCCGCGACGCGTTCGCCACCCGACCCGCCCACCGCTCCCTTCCCTGCGGGACGGGCCTGACCCGACCCGGTCCACTGAGCCTCCCCGGCGGGCCGGGACCTCCAGTGTGGCCCTCGGGCGCCTTTGCGCCTCCTAGTTCTCAGATCCCTGTCGCTTAGTGCCGGAACCTCGATACAGGACCCGGGAAGGTCGGGGGCGGCGACCGTCAACAAAGGCATGGAGCGGAGGCCGTCTGCCACCTGCCGCCTGCCCTCCACTCTCCCGGTTGAGTTTGGAGCAGTCGTTGGGGCAATACAGTTTTCGATTTCATTTTCGTTTTTATAAACACAAAGGGAAGGTTGTACTTAATTCTCGATCGGGGGCACACCTCCACGCCAGAAGGAATCCGTCAGTCTTCGTCCTTCCCTCCCGGGCCCCCAGAGATTGTGTCTTTTTCAGTTTTGTATTCTTCACACAGCTCAATACCTGACCCGCGGGAGATGAGTAACTGTTGGTTGAATAGGCTCGATTTTCATTAAAAAGCGTCCAAAGAATCCAAAATACCAATACCTCACCACCTCGGGTAAAATAAATAGAATCGCATTACCATTTCAGGGACTTTGATTTGCTAAGAGTAACTATTTTTTATTTTTTTAATTTCACTTTTTCAATTACAGTTTACATTCAGTATTATTTTCTGTTAGTTTCAGGTGCACAGCATAGTGATGAGACAATTATACAGTGTCATTACAATATTATCGACGGTGTTCTCTATGCCGTACATCCCTGTGACTATTCTGTGAATACCCATTTGTACTTTTTCATCCTTTCACCTTGTTCACCCAGCCCCCCAACCCCCCTCACTTGTGACAACCATCACCCTGTTCTCTGCATCCTTGAATCTGTTATATTTTGTTTGTTCGTTTATTTTGTTCTTTAGATTCCACATGAAAATGAAACCATATAGTATTTGTCTTTCTCTGACTTATTTCTCTTAGCATAATATCCTCTAGGTCCATCTATGTTGTCACAAATGGTACCGTTCCATTCTTTTTAATGGCCATGTAATATTCTATCACATATATGCACCACCTCTTTTTTATCCATTTGTCTACTGATGGGCACTTGGGCTGCTTCCATATCTTGGATGTTGTGGCTAATGCTGCAATGAACATAGGGGTTCTAATGTTTTTTTCAAATTAGTGTCTTGAGTTTGTTCTGATACATACCCAGCAGTGAAATTGCTGGATCATAAGGCAGGTCCATTTTTAATTTTTGAGGGACCTCCAGTTTTCCACAGTGGCTGCACTGGTCTGCATTCCTACCAGTAGTGCTGACTTTCCTCCATGTCCTTGCAGACACTTGTCATTTGTCGATTTATTGATGATAGCCATACTGTCAGGTACGAGGTGATATCTCATTGTGGTTTTAATTTGCATTTCTCTGATGATTAGAGACTTTGAGCATCTTTTCATGTCTGTTAGCCATAAGAATAACTGTCCTTGATTGTATGCTTCATATAATGTGAATTTGTTTGCTTCGAACTTAATTTATAATTTTCATAGTTCAAGACCGGTGTATTTTTTTTTCACTTTTAAAAAAACAGATAGGAATTGTGTCTATTAAAGTTGTGAATTGTTTTGATAATTACCTCAAATGTGGCACTCGATACCAGAGCGAACTGGGTGGGTTTTTCTCCCCCCCGAATTTACCAGACCTGATCAGAATGGGGTATATTCTGATATACCTTATTGTATATCGAGAGTTGAATCTCCTGTAGTTCACTGGGTCGGCTTTGTCAAAGCAAGAATGATAGAAATGAAGTAACATAAACACTTTTCGATGTTAATAAAACACACTATTATATATAAACTTATTTCTTGGAAAAAATTTTCTAGTCCATAGTGTTTGATTAAAAAGAACATAAACTCTAGAAAAAGTGACAGCTTTCAAAATACTGCTTCTCTTGGTTGTCTAGTATCTTCAAGGCTTTTTGATTTTCTCTTGATAAAGTAGTTATCCTTAATTATAGATAAAGTTTTGGGGAGCCCTAGAAGAATATGGCCCAGATCTATGTTACAACATTTATATACATACATCACTTTTTAAAAAACAGTATATTGTTTTACAAACTGTGTAACTGAAGAGTATCTGTCATGCCATTTTTCATCTTTAGATTGATAGCATAGTATTAAATATTTATATAGAAGGACAAGAATATTCAAATATTGGTTTTGAATACTTTTTTTGGATTTTTTTTGAGGGAGGGAGAAAGAGAGGGAGAGAGACATCAGTGTGGGAGAGATAAATCAATTGGTTCCCTCTCTCAACCCTCCAGCGAGGGAACCTGGTCTGCACCCAGGCATGTATCCTGACTGGGCATTGAACCAGTGACCTTTTGGTTCACAGACCAGTGCTCAGTCCATTGAGCCACACCAGCCAGGGCCAAATACTGGTTTTGAATTTTAAAAACCATAATTAAGATTCCCAGCCTTCCTGTAGAGGAACTTGTCTTCCTCTCCCTTCAATTTCTTTTGATGCAAAGAACGAAAAGGGTGTAGGGAAGAGGTGGGACAGGGCATTCTACCCATCTTTTGGTTCTTGGACCAATATCTGAAAAACTGAGCCTCCTACAAGTGATGATGTCAGTTCTGAGTATCAGCATCTTTTCTATCCAGCCTATAAATATCCAGCCTGTAGAAGCAATATGTGAAATTTTGTCCTGCTGGTGGAGGGTTAGCTTCGGGTGTTATTCTTTCGGTTAGGTGTGGTTCAGTGTAGGGATTGCTAGCCAGGACCGTAGACACATTCCTAGGGTGATGGTCCTTTATTCTTTATTGTGGGACTGACGCACCCATCATGGTGCTTTGGGCCACCTGCTTTGACTTACGTCTTGTTTTTTATTGTATTGTATAAGTGACATATAACATATTTTTATATATTATTACAGATAATTTTTTCCTTTGAACACTATCTTAGCTGCCAACTTAAATATAACTTTTTAGTTAACACCCTTCTCTATCATAAGTCCATCTTTACACAAATAACTTTCTACCTTCAATTTTTCACATAGGCAGTTATCCGTATTCTTACGTAGTGTGTCTATGGCATTCCTAGAGGTGGAGTCACTACCGCATAGGTAAAAGAGAGCTGTCATTAAAGATTGCTATGTGCCTCACACTGTTTGAGGTTTTGGGGATACAAAAGTGAACAGAGGAAATGACTACACTCTGAGAATTTAAATTCTCATAGAAGACAATAAAGAACTCAAATACATTAAGTAGTATGTTGGAAGGTGATACGTGCTTTGGAGAAAAGTAAAGCAGGGGAGGGAAATAATAGAAGAGCGCTAGGGGGTGAAGATGAGATGGGTTACAGTTTTAAGGAATGGTAAAGGAAGGCCTTTATGAGAAGATCTGTTTGAGCAGAGACCTGAGAGAGGTGAGGGTGCAAACTGGAACATTCTGAAGTAAGAACATTCCAGAAAGAAGGAAAAACAAGTGCAGAGGGCCTGAGACAGAAGCTTGTTATGCATGATTGAGCAACAGCAAAGGAGGTGAAGGGAGAAAGTATTGGTAGGTAAAGGTGTGAGAGACTTCGGAGGGTCTTGGAGGCCTTTGTAAGGACTTTGGCATTTACTTGGAGTGTGATGGGAAGACTAGACTGTAGGAGATTAACAGGGGAGGCAGAGATACCTGTAAAGAGGCTGTTGCAATAATGGTGGCCTGTGGAGGTAGTTAGAAGAGATCAGATTCTGGATATTTTTGAAGGGAGAGCTAACAGGATTTTCACCTGTAAATGTGAAGTAAAGAGAGGCATCAGGTATCGTTTCCAGGTCTTTGGTTTTGAGTAGCTGGAAAGATGTTGATATGGAAGACTTTGAAAAGGGTTCAATTTGGGGAAAGATAAGGAATTCAGTTCTTTTTTTTTTAATTCATTTTTTTATTATCTTTTATTTTTTATTGATTATGCTGTTACAGTTGTTCTATTCCCCCCCTTCATTCCCCTCCACCCTACCCCCCCGTCCCCACCATTACCCCCCCTTTAGTTTATGTCCATGTGTCTCAAGTCCTTTAGATTCTATATTTCCCATGCTATTCTTGCCCCCCCCCATCTATTTTCTATCTACTGTCTATGCTACTTATTTTCTGTACCTTCTCCCCCCTTCTCCTCCTCCCACTCCCCTGTTGCTAACCCTCCTTGAGATCTTCATTTCTGTGTTTTCACTCCTGATCTAGCTGTCCTTTTAGTTTGCTTTCGTTTTAGGTGTGGTTGTTAATAACTGTGAGCTTGTTGTCCTTTCACTGTTCATGTTTCTTTAACTTCTTTTTCTTAGATAAGTCCCTTTAACATTTCATATAATAAGGGCTTGGTGATGATGAACTCCTTGAATTTGATCTTATCTGAGAAGCACTTTATCTGTCCTTCCATTCTGAATGAAAGTTTTGCTGGATAGAGCAATCTTGGTTGTAGGTCTTTGGATTTCATGACTTGGAATACCTCTTTCCAGCCCCTTCTTGCCTGTAAGGTCTCTTTTGAGAAATCAGCTGACAGTCTGATGGGGACTCCTTTGTAGGTGACTGTCCCCTTAGCTCCTGCTGCTTCTAGGATTCTCTCCTTCATTTTAATTTTGGCTAAGGTAATGATGATGTGCCTTGGTGTGTTTCTTCTTGGGTCCAACTTCTTTGGGACTCTCTGAGCTTCCTGGATTTCCTGGAAGTCAATTTCCTTTGCCAGATTGGGGAAATTCTCCTTTATTATTTGTTCAAATAAGTTTTCCACTGGTGGCTGTGCCTTTCCCCCTTCTGGCACCCCTATAATTCGGATGTTGGAGCGTTTAAAGATGTCCTGGAGGTTCCTAAGACTCTCCTCATTTCTTTGAATTCTTGCTTCTTGACTCTTTTCTGTTTGGCCATTATTTGCTTTCTTCTGGTCCACTCCATTGATTTGAGTCCCAGTTTCCTTTTCATTGCTATTGGTTTCCTGTGCAATTCCCTTCACTTCAATTAGTTTTGCCTTCATATGTTTGTCTAATTTGTGGCTATAATCAACCAGTTCTGTGAGGATCCTGATGACCAGTGTTTTAAATTGTGCGTCTGAGAGTTTTGCTATTTCTTCATCGCTTAGATTTATAGGCTCTGGAGCTTTGCGATCTTCTTGAGCCATTTTTGGACTGTTCGTGCCCTTTAAGTGTGAGGAGTGGCGCCTTGGACTCCCAGGTTGCTGGGTTGTGATGCTGTATGTGGGGGCGTGGTCAGAGCGGGGAAATGGCGGCCCTCTCTGCTGTTTCGTGCTGCTGGCTGAGGAGCAGAGGCTTAGGTGGTTCCCCAGGGCCGGGCCACTCAGAGTCGCTGGGTTATGACGCTGTATGTGGAGGTGGGGTCAGAGCAGGGAAATGGCGGCACCCTCTGATGCCGCTTGCTGTGGGGACCCGCTGGGTTCCGGTCCAATTGCCCACTCCCTCGCTTGTCTGTGCGCACAAATGCGCGACCACAGTCAACCCTCAGCCCTGCTCCCTCGCTGTTTCCCCCGCGGTCGCTTGCTTGGTCGCTCCCTTGGTAGCTCACTAGGTCCAACCCTGTGCCTGGATTCCGCGCGCCTGAGTCTGTCTGACTGAGTTTTCCTGTGCAACCCCGCTCCACCAGCTGTTGGTTTCGCCCCTTACCGGTCAGGCTGAAGAATTTGTTGTTATCAGACTTCCGAAAAGTTCAATTTTCTGTGTTCTGGCTGTGTTTTCTGTTGCTAATATTTAGTTGTCTCTAAACTTGGTTGTGTGAGAAGGCACCGCGTCTCCACCTCTGCCTCCGTCTTGGCAGAAGTTCTGCATTTTCTTTCTTATTGTTTATCAGTCTTTGCGCTAATCTCTGAAATTTCTTTGACTTTACATTCAAATCCTTCTATTGCATGTTTTCTTTCTACTCTTACATTTTTTATGTCCAAAGTCGTTTCTTTTCTGTGTGTCCTCACACTACAGAGCAGAAAGAGTTGGTTCCCCGGGCGCTAGCGGAGCTAGGCACTAAACACTGAGAATTGCCATGGAGAAGTATTGGCTATTTTGATGAATGGTGCCGCCCAGGAGAACGGGAAGCAGATGCTCAAAAGTACGAACTTCCCAGTGGCGTTTCGGTTACAAATTATATAGAGCACAACCACAAGATACTTTGGGTTAGGGTTTTGGATTCATGCTGGGAGCTGATTGGTCAGAGGTGAGGTAAGGGTAAATCTTTTGTTCAGGTTGAGGATAGTTCTGAATTCTTTTCCAGCCCAGAGTCCCTTGGTCCTATGGTCCTATCTCATGGGAAAGTAGCCAGAGGGACATTCCATCTTTGAGCTCAGGTCTTGAAACATAACCTAGGACCTTGTGATCGTTAGTCAGGTCCTGGCTACTATCTGTGCTGCCTTGGGGAATTGCTGATTATGGGGGCGAAAGTTTGGTCTCTGAGTGGGTGTACGTATAGAGAGAGATATGATTTCTAGAGCTAGGATTTAATACTGAATTTAAGCCAAGACAGAAAGCCTGTTTCATTTGTTTCATGGGTACAGTGTCATTTCTTTTTTCTTTGAAGTTATTGATCCTAGTCCTTTTTGAAATTTTCTTCTGCTTCTTGAGTTATTTTTGTTACTACTTAGTTTCTTTTCTGTTTGTTTTGGTCTCTGACATGCTTCTGGAGTCTCTCTGAATAGCTAACCGCCCCTTTTTAGGAGAGAAACAGTGAAAGCTGATTGAAAGCTTTGTGTGCCTGGGTGGAGTTTCTCAACTGGTGAGCTTCTGTATACAGTGTTTTGATCAGATGGGGGACCCCATCTTCTGACCTCCTAACCTGCCAAGAGCATGTAAGCCAGGTTCCTAGTTTTCCTTTCTTTCTTCCGCCTTTCCCTACCCCCCCCCCCCCCCAGGTTTCTAGTTTTCTGTAGTTAAGTGGTACAAGGCAGAAATGTGAAAATACAATACAGCAAATGATAAATTATAAAATAGTTGGTATTTACAATATATGCTGGAATTTGAAGGAAGGGGCTAAAAGGAATTCTAGAAAAGGATTCACAAAGAAAAGGGAGAGAGATGTGTGCTAGATTTTTGAGACTTACGAAGATTTGGTTTGGTAGAGGACCATTTAAGTTGGAAAAGCTCAAATGGAGTCAAGCAAAGGATTTGAATAGGTAGCAGGAGAGAAAGTTACTGAGGTTCTTCCAGGCTTTAATGTTAGTGATTAGTCAGAACCATTGTACTTTTAACAGTGCTATCAGGAAAATAAGATTTTTAAAAAATTAATCTAACAGTAAAATAGGTATGTTGGTTTTAAACTAAATTCTTATATGATTTTCCTTTCCAGTACAAATACAGAGACCTGACTGTACGTGAAACTATCAATGTTATTGCGTTATACAAAGATCTCAAGCCTGTATTGGATTCATATGGTGAGTTTACATAATGAAATATCAATTACTATACTTTGAGTTTACTTCTCTTGTTAATGATTGTAGGTTTCCCATTTCCCTTCTTAAGATTGTTGTTTTTTCCATTGTAGGACTAAATCTTTACCTAATGTAAACATTGGAGGGATAGAAAATTACAACATCTAATTATAGCATCTTGTATTTGTGTAGTTGTTGCAACTTTTTAGAAAGTACTCTAACATAGAGCTATGCAAATTTAGGCCTAAAGGGGATGTTAAAGATAGTTTAATTCATCATCTCTCAAAGTATTATCTATAGCTGTGAAGAATGTTGTGGGGTGGGGCGATGGGAATTCTGTCGTTAAATTTGAGCAGTTGTAGATTGAACAAAATTCAGTGGGTTTCTTTGCAGCCATGTTACAATGTTTCTCAGAGCCTTCGATGTGCTAATACATTACACTTCAACAAGAGGGGAGAGAATACCCTTATATTGTACTGTATCCTAAAGTTAATTACTCCCCTGCATCTCTTTATAGTCTTAGGAAGATATTTAGCAAAACGATATGCTGTTATTTTATAGATGAGGAAAACATTTAAAAAATATCCTTAATTCTGTAGAGTACATAGGTGATAGTTTCATTATGGAAACAAAACAAACCTCGGTTTTAAGTAAGAAATGCTTAATAGTCTTTTTGTCCCCACACCAGATGTGCCAGGTCCAAAGGCTCCTGGCCATGGTGAGGCCCTTGGCACGGAGGACAAGGAGCTGAAATAGTAGCTGAGACCCTCACTCTATAAACTCTACTTATCCCCAGGGCTTTGAAAGCATTGGGGGAGGTGGGCAGCAACAGGGGGACAGTCAGTCCTGGGTTTCCTGAACAACAAAGACGGAACTGGGAGTTCTCTTCCAGCTCCGCCTCCTTCCCCATACCATACTGTGGTATCTAGATCTGCAAAAAAAACTTCATATTACCAAAATTAGTTTATGTAAAAATGGCTTCAGTGGGGGAGAAAGTGGAGCTAGAATTTTATTGTGATAGTTTTTACTGCATGCTAAAAAAAAAAATGTTTGTTGATCAAAAAGATCCCAACATTGTTGAAAAAAATCTGACATAGCTTTATATGGCCAAATCACATCTAAACCATTGCTACTGTTGCAGTCTACATGCTTTTAAAGTAAATAAAGTCATACATTTAAATAAGGTGGGGTTTTAGCCCTGGCTGGTGTAGCTCAGTGGATTGAGCTCGGGCCTGCGAACCAAACAATTGTGGTTCGATCCCCAGTCAGGGCACATGCCTGGGTTGCAGGCCAGTTCCCAGCAGGGGATGCATGAGAGGCAACCATACATTGATATTTCTCTCCCTGTCTCCTTCCCTCCCTCTCTAAAGATAAATAAATAAACTCTTTTTTAAAAAAGTTATTAAATAAGGTGGGGTTTTTTAATTTATTTATTTTTTATTGATTATGCCATTACAGTTGTTCTATTCCCCCTTCATTCCCCTTCACCCTACCTCCCCGTCCCCATTACCCCCCTTTAGTTTATGACCATGTGTCTCAAGTTCTTTAGATTCTGTATTTCCCATACTATTCTTGCCCCCCCATCTATTTTCTGTCTACCGTCTATGCTACTTATTTTCTGTACCTTCTCCCCTCTTCTCCTCCTCCCACTCCCCTGTTGCTAACCCTCCTTGAGATCTTCATTTCTATGTTTCCACTCCTGATCTAGCTGTCCTTTTAGTTTGCTTTTATTTTAGGTGTGGTTGTTAATAACTGTGAGTTTGTTGTCCTTTCACTGTTCATATTTTTTATCTTCTTTTTCTTAGATAAGTCCCTTTAACATTTCATATAATAAGGGCTTGGTGATGATGAACTCCTTGAATTTGATCTTATCTGAGAAGCACCTTATCTGTCCTTCCATTCTGAATGAAAGTTTTGCTGGATAGAGCAATCTTGGTTGTAGGTCTTTGGATTTCATGACTTGGAATACCTCTTTCCAGCCCCTTCTTGCCTGTAAGGTCTCTTTTGAGAAATCAGCTGACATGAGAAATGGGGACTCCTTTGTAGGTGACTGTCCCCTTTGCTCCTGCTGCTTCTAGGATTGTCTCCTTCATTTTAATCTTGGCTAATGTAATGATGATGTGCCTTGGTGTGTTCCTTCTTGGGTCCAACTTCTTTGGGACTCTCTGAGCTTCCTGGATTTCCCGGAAGTCTATTTCCTTTGCCAGAACGGGGAAGTTCTCTTTTATTATTTGTTCAAATAAGGTTTCCACCTGTGACTGTTCCTCTTCCCCTTCTGGTACCCCTATAATTTGGATGTTGGAGCGTTTAAAGATGTCCTGGAGGTTCCTAAGACTCTCCTCATTTCTTTGAATTCTTGCTTCTTGACTCTTTTCTGTTTGGCCATTATTTGCTTTCTTCTGGTCCACTCCATTGATTTGAGTCCCAGTTTCCTTTTCATTGCTATTGGTGTCCTGTGCAATTCCCTTCATTTCAATTAGTTTCGCCTTCATATATTTGTCTAATTTGTGGCTATAATCAACCAGTTCTGTGAGGATCCTGATGACCAGTGTTTTAAATTGTGCGTCTGAGAGTTTTGCTATTTCTTCATCGCTTAGATTTATAGGCTCTGGAGCTTTGAGATCTTCTTGAGCCATGTTTGGTCTGTTCTGGCCCTTTAAGTGTGAGTAGCGGAGCCTTGGACTCCCAGGTTGCTGGGTTGTGACGCTGTATGTGGGGGCGTGGTCAGAGCGGGGAAATGGCGGCCCCCTCTGCTGTTTCGTGCTGCTGGCTGAGGAGCAGAGCCTTAGATGGTTCCCCAGGGTCGGGCCACTCAGAGTTGCTGGGTTATGAGGCTGTATGTGGAGGTGGGGTCAGAGCAGGGAAATGGCGGCGCCCTCTGATGCCGCTTGCTGTGGGGACCTGCTGGGTTCCGGTCCCATCGCCCACTCCCTCGCTTGTCTATCCGCGCACAAATGCGCGACCACAGTCAACCGCAGCCCTGCTCCCTCGCTGTTTCCCCGCGGTTGCTGGCTTGGTCGCTCGCTCGGTCGCTCACTAGGTCCAGCCTTGTGCCTGGATTCCACGCCTGAGTCCATCTGACCGAGTTTTCCTGTGCAACCCCGCTTCACCAGCCGCTGGTTTCGCCCCTTACCGGTCAGGCTGAAGAATTTGTTGTTAACAGACTTCCGAAAAGTTCAATTTTCTGTGTTCTGGCTGTGTTTTCTGTTGCTAATATTTAGTTGTCTCTAAACTTGGTTGTGTGAGAAGGCACCGCGTCTCCCCCTCTGCCTCCGTCTTGGCGGAAGTCAATGTGGGGTTTCTAAAAGCACAAAATCAGAATAAATTACAGTGCGGTTTATAATTGTCGATACTAAAGAAAAGAACTGAGGTCGGCAGCACCGTGTTCTTGCGCTCCACGTGGCAGCCTTTTCCCAGGTATCCCATGTGATGCACATTACGTGTGCCCTAATTAATCAGTGGGCTACGGCTAGAAAACCTGTGTGGTGTGGTGTGAGAAATACTTGTGTTGAAAGATACATATATATTTGTGGAAACTACTTTAAAACTGTGGTTTATGCTATATTAGGATTGAGAATGATAGGAAGTGGGGCTTGGCACATGAGAAATCTAAAATTTTGTGATATGAAATGAACTTGAAGTATGGTATCAGTTGATAGTTCTTTTCGAGTAATTTTACAATCATGTTAGTTAGGAAAACAGCTCATTTTTACTGAGATTATCGCAGTCACACCCATTTTCCCAAGTAATTCAAAGCATCTTTACTCACAGAAAAACTGATCCCACTGAGTGACTCAACAAAGGGTACTCTGTTATTGACAAAATGGATGATATAGGATACTAATGAGTTTTAACCAGCGTTTTTAAAAGACTAGCTTAATGGGAACATCTATAAAAATGCTTATGTTTAAACCCTTGTTCTTTCCTTTTAGTTTTTAATGATGGCAGTTCCAGGGAACTGATGAACCTCACTGGGACAATTCCTGTGCCTTACAGAGGTAAGTGTCATGTGTAATTTATGTTTCCAGTATTGGTCCATTTTGATGCCCATAATACACTGCCAAAGAGTTATAAGTAACTTAAGCCTATTTTCTTGTGATTTTTCATGATGACATAGCGATTTCAACTTCTGTGGGAATTGAACTTTATTTGGCAGCAGCACCTAATATTTTCAGCATTTTTCCCTTCCTACCAGCATATTATCAGTAATTGTCTCCTTGTGCTGGAAGAGTTTGAAGTTCCATAGAATCAGAGAATTTTTTTAAACTATAAAGGATCATTTTACATGCCTCTGATTCTGCTTCTCACCCTGTTCAGACTTTTCCAACAGCGACAAGCTGCACAGTGTAGTAGCTAAGACAGGCTTTGAAGTCAGGATAGAGTATGATTTCAGTTCTCACTGTCTGGTCTATCAGGTTTGTGATCATGGACATCTGTAACATTTGGATAATAGTATCTGACTCAAAAAAGAGTTCATTGTATGTAAAGGACTTAGTACAGAGTCTGGTATATAATAATCACATGTCAAAAGTAGCTATTATTTAAGGTTGTAATCTGATGATAATTTGATACCGGATAATTACATCTTTGTTAGCCAGTTAGCCACCCTCTGCTGAAATACTTACAGTGGTGAGGGAACATTCAGTTTCATAAACGACTGTTCTGTTTTTGGACAGCTCTGTTTGTGAATTATTTCTTGTGACTTACTAAGACCTGTGGTGTCTCTGTAACTTAGCCATTGCTTTTATATAGTGCCTGCTGTGCATGAGGCATAGGGGGTAAGGGCTATGTATGCAAAGATAAAGGATGTACCTTTTCTGGAAGAACTTACACAAATAGAGGAAATGGAGGGAATAAACAGACATACATAGCTCTAGCTGGTGTGGCTCAGTGGCATGAGTGCCAGCCTGCAAATGAAAGGGTCACTGGCTCAATTCCAGGTCAGGGCACATGCCTGGGTTGCAGGCCAGGTCCCCAGTTGGGGGTGTGTGAAGGGCAACCACACATTGATATTTCTCTTCCTCTCTTTCTCCCTCCCTTCCCCTCTCTAAAATAAATAAAATTGTTAAAAAATAGATATTTATAATACTCTATACCTGCTATAGAATGATAAAATATAAAGGTGCTATGAAATTACCAAGAAGAATAAGACCATGTTGGATGATAACGGAGGACATGACATTTGAACTTGCTATTAAAGGATGAGTCAACCATTCATAGCGGAATGGACATTTCAGACAGGGGGGGAAAACACTTGAACATCAACACTGAATAAAGCGTGTATGATGAGATTAGGGAGGACTGGACAGAATTCAGGATTACTGACTTTGCCTTTAGGAATTAAACTGTGGTCAGGGAAATAGGTAATGGGGGAAAGAGGGGAGCAGGAAACTATGGTAATCATAATGAAGGATATTTATTTCATATATATAAAAATTTTATCTAAATCGTTCCCTCAACATTTTTCATGCGGCATAGTTCTTAAACCCAAATAATTCTGGAGAGGTCTTCATTTTCACAAAGCAAAGAATTCTGGTTGGTGGAAATAAACTTATGTTTTCTGTATTAGGATATATCTGTTGGGGTCCTTTTTTCATTGTAGAAGTAGTTTTGGGTAAAAAATAAATCCAGAGTTCCACAACTGTGTAATTTCTTTACATAAAATTTATATGTATATATTTATATGAAGTGAAAGCATTTCTAAGAGGAAACGTATCTGAATTTATGTTAGGTGATTCAAATGGTTTCTTGGGACATTGGCTTTGAGCTTAGTAAGAAAAGGCTATGGTTATGTTCACTGGATTAACTGTGTTGGATCCTTTGAAACACTGTTCAGTTTGACTACATATAGTCAAATTTCTCAACTGAGAGAGGTTCTATTTCATAAAGCAAAAAGATCACGTCATAGATTGAGTAGCTATCACTGAAAATGCCATATATATTGGTCAAGCTGTAGCCACCAGTCAGCATCTGTTTGACAGTTGGATTGGCTTTGGAAAGGGAACTGTATCACTCTCTGATAGGATACCATAATCCATGGTCTTCCTTGTATAACCCTTCCTGGTGAACCTTATTAATTGAAATGACAAGAGGCAAGTAAGAAAGAGTGGGTTGGTTGAAGGATAACTCCTGAAGTGTGCCCACACAGCAACAAGCACACACCAGCAGAATGGGGATCAGGGAATCCTCGGTGCTGCTGGTGTGTTTTACAAACTGAAAATTTGAGAAACTGATCTTAAACAGAACTTTGAGATACTAAAATATTTGTTGCGATTTTTAACAACCGTTGCTTACTTTCTCTTGCTTACCTGCTAAGCCATGCTGAGAAATAATAAAAATAGAGGAACTGAAGTTTTCTTCTCTCTCAGGTAATATATATAATATTCCCATATGCCTGTGGCTGCTGGACACATACCCGTATAACCCCCCCATCTGTTTTGTGAAGCCTACTAGTTCGATGACTATTAAAACAGGAAAGCATGTTGACGCAAATGGGAAGATCTATCTTCCTTATCTGCATGAATGGAAGCATGTAAGTATCAACAGTGTTCTGTGCATTTGTTGTATTTTATATATTTTATTCACCGTCATCTGCTTTTTGTTAACACTGAGGGTTCCGAGGAGGAGATGAGCTCACCTGCGATCACTTACGCTGAGGTGGGTAACTGAGAAAGGCTGTCCGCAGCGAGTACGGTCAGTAGCAGTGTGACAGCGTCGTGACCAACGGCGGACTGCATATGTGATGGTGGCTGTTTAATGGAGCTGGGAAATTCCTGTCTGTTAGGATGATGTCGTGGCCATCCTAACATGACAGCGCAGTGTGTTACTCACGTGTTTGGTCATCCTGGTATAAACAAACTGCCCACACTGCCAGACCTGTAAAAGTACAGCAGACAGAGTGGTTGCAGCGGGCTGTACCGTCTAGGTTTGTGTGAGTGCAGTGCACTCCGTGATGCTCACAGGACAGTGGACTCTCCCAGCCACCCGTTTCTCAGAATGTGTCGCCACTGTTCAGTGGCACGTGGCTGCGCATCTTGTGTTTGTACAGAGCTTGGCAATGGACAGAATATGCGTAGTCACTTTTATTTAAGTTGAACCTTTAAGTATAGACGGAATTCATGTAGTGGGCAGTGCATTTAAAAAAATAGTATACCGATGGCATGTGTTTGTGAAACTGTTCACATCTCGTTACTCAAAGTATTCCTGTCGAGCAGTAATAATGGTAGGAAACCTTTGTTTCTGACTCTGATGGTAAAGCTCTGGCAGACCAGCGTCCTATCAAAACAGCTGGAAAAGCCAAAGTGAAGGCTTTCGGGGAGCCATTGAGGCAATCAGGACTTGAATGGCCAAGATCCTCTAGTGAATGGAGCTGCAGGAGCTAAGCCAGCATTCTGCCAGTTTTCCCTGGGAGTATTTACTGATCCTTACTACAGGGCAAGAGGCTGAGGATCTGGGCAGAGGGCCTTAGCTAAGAGGCAAAAAAACCCTGCAGAGTTCTAGCAGTTTACAGAGCTGAAAAGACAACAGTTACTGTTCTATCTGCCAGTACAGCCACTAATTTAGGAACCAAAATTTGGAGAAATGGGAAGTTACAAAGAGATAAAACAATAATCTGAGTTTTCTCCACAAAAGATGTGCTAAATTCCTGAGCTTCAAAGACAGGAGGCTTAAAGCTGAGCAGAAAACCTCTGAATGTAGAGCCAAGTTCTCAGCAGTCTCAGGTTGAGGAGGTGCTAGGAGTTCGGAACCTCAGCACGGAAGCAGTGTAGGTAACATCCTAGGCTCTTAGTCAGTGCCGCCGGAGGAACACATCCCAAGAGTGCAAGTCACCGGGTATGGTGAGCCTTACAAAACCCCAGCCTTAAATAAGCTCAGTCCCCGATCGTATTGAGGTAATTCTCACAGTGTCTGCCTGACATAGGATAGGTGAACCCGTGCTGGAGGAACATAATGTGTAAACCCTCTATAAATTGTCATAAAGTGTAAGCAGCATATAATTTAAAATTAACAAATACACCAAGAAAGAGGGAAAACAGGCAGTAGAACTAGGACACTGCCACCCCCGGTGGCAACCCACTTACCAGACACAGACTTGGGAATCTTAGAGCCGGAGAACAGAATAACAGGAACGAAGAACTCAGTGGATGGGATTAGTAGCAGATTGGACTCAGTCACAATAGAAAATTAATGAACTGGTGAATGAATACTTTGTATTTTTTCAGTGTTACTAACCTAGGAATAAGACTCACAAAAGATGTAGAAGTCCATTGTGGAGAAAATTTTATTCAAAGACATCACAGGAGACTTAAGTCAAAGGAGAGAGAACCGTATTCGTGGAATAAGAAATGCCGGTTCCCTTCAAATTGATTTATATCCTACCAGGAGTCTTTCTTTGTTTCTATCTGTATTTGTTAATTTTGTGAACCTGCTGGGCTCAGTGGCATGACATTTCTTCACCCTGCTCAGAATGATGCGCAGTTTTAAACTTTAGAATTATTCATTTAAGGACATTTTCGTTGATGTCGTCAGACCCCAGGGGACTGAAACTGCACCGAGTGACGCTGCAGCGGGGTACGCGGGGAGCGCTGTACACGACACAGCAGACCTGCTCCTCGCAAATAACTCAATACGTACATGATCGCTTAGCTTTATTAAGCTAATTAAAGAAATGTGGGGGTTTGGGCTCCTGTAAAGAAAATTATCAAGCTGAGTTGAAAACTGATGTTTAAAAATGGCCGAACTTTTCCATTTTGCCAAAAATTCCATCTGTAGCTGGTTTAAATTTGTCTTCTGTTTTTAGCCACAGTCAGACTTGTTGGGGCTTATTCAGGTCATGATTGTAGTGTTTGGAGACGAACCTCCAGTCTTCTCCCGACCTACGATGTCAGCATCTTATCCACCATACCAGCCGACAGGACCACCAAATAGTAAGTAGAATGGGGATTTGATTTTTAAACTCACACGAACAAAAGAAAACAAAACCTTGTTAACAGAATGTTTTTAATGACTTTACTTTGCTTTTTAGCTTATCAAGTTAGTGGATTTTTTTGGAGGCATCTGAGGCCCCACATCTGCATGTGCAGATTCCCACCAAAGACTGGCATTTGGGCTTTCGTTTGTGGGTAGAAATCCAACTCTGGGTGTGCTGGATTCCAGAAGTGGGGGGAGAAAGGATGCTGGACTGGAGCTAGATTCTTTTTAAATTATGCATGCCATGGAATAGCCTTATTTGATCAGTTTGGAAGCAGATATAGCTTGAAACGTAATCTGACCTCTCCTTTTCTTTACAACTTCAGGATCAGTGTTGTAGGTAAGAATCAGTAACAAAAGTCAACTAAATCATTCGCATTCAGCTATTCTGGGTATACACAATTGGACGTCTAGCTCTCAGCCTTCTTCTCTTTGGTACAGCCAATTCGTGACTTTACCTGGGGTGGGGCAAGTGGGCCCGTGGAGTCCGTACCAGTTCTCCCCTAGTCGGTGCACATTAGCTCTGTTATTCTGGGTTTTTGAAAATAATTCTTACTGATACTTTAAAATCACCCTGATATTTGAGAATTGGTTGTACTTACTTGTTTTGACTTTATTAAACCTGCATTGATTTCATTGTTTTGGGTTGAGATTATTGTTACAAATTTTGTTTGAGATTGTAATTAACCAGGCTTATTTATCTTATAAGTCAGATTATATGAGCTTTAATATTTCTTCTGAAAATTATCCTTTTCCTTTGTAATTCATTCGGTCTTGAGGAACGTCTTGACTCATAAGCTGAATGGGAATTAAACAGAAAACTTTCTAAACCCATTTCCTTCTCCTTCCCCTTTTCCCAGAGTGAGCTTGTTTTTTAGGATTCAGTCCTGCTCTTAATAAAGATGCCAGCTATTCTTTCGGACCCCAAATTTCCATCTTAAATTCTGTTGACTCCAGTACCCAAGATAGATAATCTTGCTCATATAAGTTTGAAATATCGAGTATTTCCTAGTTTATCATTCATGTTTATTGCTCAAATAACATAGCAGTGACCACATAAGGTAGGAACCTGTTCAGCAGTGTAGGCAATCTCCTAAGCAATGTTTTTTCCTAAATTTCTTCCACCTTTCTACGGACATTGGTGGAAGCACAGCATTCGAGAAGGAGACCACGCCAGAGAGGTCACCGTTGCAGCTGGGTTTTGTACTCACTGTGAATCACATTAAGTAATCTAGAACTAATGTAAATAAGTTACTAAAAGACCGTCTTACTGTCCGTCCATTCCAGTTTTAATACTTTTTATACACCTAAACAATATTGTTATTAGGTATAACTGTAAAGAAATGAAAGTCTGAATTCCATTCCCCACGCACACCAAAGAATAGCTCAGAAATTTGGATATATACTTAAATATTATCTTTTGAGAAATTATATACTTCTGTTATTACTCAAAACATATTTTTGTAAAGATTTTATTTATTTTTAGAGAAAGGGGGAGAAACATCAATGCATGAGAGAAACATTGATCAGTTGCCTCTTACACAACTCCAACCAGGGACCTGGCCTGCAACCTAGGCATGTGCAGTGACCAGGAATCGAACCAGCGATCTCTTGGTTTGTGGAACAATGCCCAACCCACCAAGCCACACCAGTCAGGGTCATTACTCAGAATATTTTGATCTCCTCTTTTACCTGTTTTAGGACTTTTGAGCTAGCTATGAGTCCCATTTAAAAAGTATTATGTTCAAACCTCATTTTTTGACAACAGTAATAGTCAACATTTATTGAATGGTAACTGACCTGTACAGCTAAGCACTTCGCACTCGTTTTTATTTAATACGTCTGTGTTGTGCGTATTCGTATTCCTTTCGAGTCTGGCTCTAAAAGTACTTAACTTCATTATCTTTTTCCTTGCCAGTCTTGGATCCAGATGATATATGTTGTTTCCCAAAATTAGAATTTGAAGCCTTTGGCAGAATTGTTAGCTTTTCAGAACCTCAGAAAAGGAAAATTGCTTATAACTACGAGGTGGTGGTTTTAGATGTGTGAGAAAGAATCTGGCGTGGGGGGTAGTAATTGGGTACCACGTGTTGCCTTGTATAAAACTCACTCTTTTGTCCAGTGTTTTGAGGGGAAACATAAGGATGCACATTATACATGGGTATAATAATGGACATAATGATCCCGTGTGTGATGTGCACAGACACGTGGGTGCTCGTTACACATGGGAGCGCATTATACGTGGCAAGATACTGTATGTATGTTGCTGACATTTAATAGTGGCCTCATTTTTTGATATTCATAAAGTTAAGCTGTGCTCTGCCCCTAGGGCAGAAAAAAGGTGTTTTGTGTTACTTAGCAAGTGTGGCGTTTGGGGAGGCTTTTTGCCTTCTGTAATAGATTGGACATCATCGTAGCTTCCTTATACTTAAGAAAAAATGTACTGCTGACATCACAGATGCATCCTAACAGGAAAGCTGTGTACACTGGTACTTGGCGATGTGTGCTCAGCGACTCTGGTGAAAGCTTTTGAGGTCTCCCACCTTACTTCATTCTGTGCTCTAAAGGCTTATTTCTTGAAAGCTCCATGTCTCTTGCCTTGACACCTTCGGATGCCATTCCTCTGCTAGATCACGTTCGTTCACCCCACCCCCAAGGTTTAGATCAGCTGCCTCTTGTGTGTCCTCATACACAGCCCTCCGTGTCCCCCTGTCATCCCACTTACCACTCTGTGCTGTTACTATTTGCTCGTCTCCCTGACTAGACTAGAAGCAACTCGAGGCTAGAAAGTTCCTGTCTTCTTTTTTGTCATCAAATTTCCAGTGCCTGTCATATAGAAGGCACTAAAATGTTGATTAGATTAAGAACTGATTCATTGTTTCATTCAGTGAGAAACATTTCACTGAGGATAAATTGATTCTCAAAGAAGTCATTTCCAGTTAAGGCCAAAACTAACTCTTCTTTTCTTCCTCTGACGATTAGTCTCTTGGCACCACTGACTGGTGCTGTCACTGGTGTTTTCTTTGGGAAAAAATATACAGCAGTGTTTAAGCTTGCTGGATTGGAGCCCTCTTTCTCTAGTACTTACAGGCTTTTGTTTCAGTTGGTTTTAACCACTCTAGCCGAACAGAAGTTTACATAGGACTTCTTGTAGTAATTTGAAGTCTTTTAAAGTCCTCAGTCAAGCCAACAAAACCAGCTGTGCTAATCGGTCAACATAGTCTGAAAAGAAATATCAGAAGATGTCTTAGACATAATAAAGAGGTCACTTTCTAAGAAGCCTACTTTGGACCAGAGGAGGGCAGAATCACCTTCTTCCAAATTCCAAGTTGAACCAGCTCCTGTCTCAGGTTGGAGACTCCTTAGAGCTTGCGGAGCTGAGCAGGTTGACCTGTTTGCCAGTTAGTCCTTGTTGGGATTGTCACATGTGTTGTCATGACTCATGTTTCATGCTCTGAAAATCATGTGATTTGCAGAGCATTGCACTTGAAGTGAAGAACTAATATGGGTGGAGTGTTTGGTTTTTTGGTGCTGTCATTTATATTCTTTAACTGTATGAAATTTTGCTGTGGTTTGACAGTGATGGATATCTCATGTAACAGCCTTCATATCTAGGACTATGCATGTTATTTTACACTGTGAAAACTTATTTTCAGCTTCCTACATGCCAGGCATGCCCAGTGGAATCTCTGCATATCCATCCGGATACCCTTCCAATCCCAGGTAATGAAAATTGATCTTTTGAATCATTGCTAAAAATTCTGTTGATCTAGAGTCAAAATAACAGTTGCTAACTAGGGCATTAAAGTAAGTTTAGTTACAATTTAATGGAAGATAAGACTAGGTTCATTGTTAGAATTTGGGGTACATGATTGCATAACTCAAAAGGAGTCTTTTCCATTCTGGAGAAATACAGCTCCATCGCATGTACAGAGAGGAAAGGGATGGGATAATGACAATGATCTTGACTGCTTTTGGACCTTGAAATTCTTGCTGCTTACCTTTAAGAACAGTGTTGGTGGCTCAAAGGCTATTGAAATACTGATTATAATGAATTCAACCAGAAGAATAATATTTTAATGCCCTTTTTTAAATTTACCTTTTCTGTAGGGGACAAATTAGTGGTTCATGTAATGGAGTCAGTCTTGCCCCTATAATATTTTTTAATTTAGTTCATAGATTACATCTACTACCAGTCTTTATTTGATAATAACACAACACTAGTAAATTAACTTAATAGTGCAGTCAGTCTATGAATAATGTACAGTAGAAAATCATTAGAACTAATTCTTTTTTTTTTTTTTTAGATTTTATTTATTTTTCTTTAGTGGGGGAAGGGAAGGAGAAAGGGAGATAAATATCAGTGTATGGTTGCCTCTCGTGGGTCCCCTGCTGGGAACTGGCCTGCAACCCAGGCATGTGCCCTGACTGGGAATTGAACCGAGGTTGTTTGTTTCTCAGGCCCACGCTCAATCCACCAAGCTATACCAGCCAGGGCTGATTCTTTTTTTTTTTTAAAGATTTTATTTATCTTTAGAGAGAGGAAGGAAGGGAAGAAGAGAGGGAGAAACACCAATGAGTGGTTGCCCCCCAGACACACCCCACCAGGGCCATGAGAAATAATTCTTAACCCGTGTTTTAAGTATGCACTTGTTCCATTGACGGTCTAGGAGTGATTTCAACAGGTGGACTTTGGGCGGGCTTAAAGGGCAAAACTGGCATATATTGGTGACTATGTGAGATTTTCAGCTACTCTAACAATTAACAAGAAATTTTTAACCCTGATAACTTATCATCAGTTAACCCTCACAGATAAATAAATGCAGCCACACTTCCTGAGCACCTGCCATAACTAAATATATAGATTTACAAATACACCGTAATATGCAATGCCTTATAACTGAAATTTAGCCAACTCATTTCTGAGACATTCTTCATTTCAGGGACGAGCTTTCTAAGGTAGTGAGTATTGTGTCATTGGACAGACGGGCAGACGCTCGATAGACATCTGTCAGGGGCAACAGAGGAAGGGTCCTGTGATGTACATGTCAGCACGCTGTGAGTTTTAGATTTCTCGAGGTTCTGAACTTTCTAAGTTCTAGAAATGGAATACTAGTTGAATTTACTAACTGAAATTACAAACCTTTATTATTAACACTTGCTGGTAAGAAGGAACTTTGGACATATAGGGAGTAGCTGTTGGAAGGACAATAAGAAAATGGACTTCTGAATAATAAAACCATTGCAGAGAAACTTGTAAATAAAAGTGAAAGCCGAATTTATTGACCAAAATGGAACCCTTATTCACTTACCATATGTAACCACGGAAGTCTGTTTTGTGAGGTTATTTGCTTGTGAGAAGTTCCTTTTTGCTTACAAGAAGTTTCTTGTAAGACAGTTGGTTTTGTGAGTTATTTGGTTGTTATTGTAAAAAAGATTTGGTGTTTTTTTTTCCTGTGAAACATAACTTTCCATCTCAAACTATAACATGCTAATGAGTTGGGGAGAGCAGCTGTATTCAAATTGCCATTGATACCTTTCTGTATATAAAAGGTCTTGGCAGAAGAGCTGCAGAATCTCTGTCTTCTTCCTTTGTCCTAAAGAAAGATGAATAAATCTTCCCACAACCGAAAGGTCACTGGTTCAATTCCCAGTCAAGGCACACGCCTGGGTTGCAGGCCAGGTCTCTGTTTGGGGGCGTGTGAGAGGCAGCAGGTAGATGTTTCTCCCACATACCACTGTTTCTCTCCCTCTGTCTAAAAAGAAATAAATAAAACCTTTAAAAATATCGGGATGATCACTGGTAAGTTACATAATTTCTAATCACTGGGGTGTACACCTGAAACTAATAATAGTGCATGTCAATTGTAATTAAAAATGTTTTAAATGATAAAAAGAAAATAATACAGTAATCCCCCCTTATCTGCAGTTTCATTTTCAAAGCTTCAGTTACCCACAGTTAACCACAATCCAAAAATATAAAATGGAAATAGAGAAATTAACGACTGATAAGTTTTCAGATGCCTGCTGCCTGTACCGTGATTAAATCTCGCACTGTCTCGCTCCCTCTTGCCCTGGGACACAAGCCATCCCTTTGCGCAGTGTGGCCTGCTGCATGTGCTGACTGCCCATTAATCACGGGCCCACTGTCAGGGTACCATCAGGGTATCACAGGGCTTGTGTTCAAATGAACCTTATTTTACTCAATGAAATGGCTCCAAACCACAAGCGTAGTGACTCTGACCATGTGTCAGGGACGGTGTAAAGGGTGTTTCTGAACGGTGCTGAGTAGGAGATGGGAGGAGAATACTTCTAAGGAAGTTCCTTCCAACCCTGATTTGAATACGTGAATGACACAAAATTTCCATAGAGTGAGAAAATTTTAAAACTTTATTTAATATAAGTAGGAGTATTTTTCAGATCAGATATTCACAAAGGTCATTGGTGAACCACAAGCCAAAACTAAATAAACGAATAGTAAATAAATAGTACCATTTCCCTGTGCTAGGAAATCAGAATGGAAGAGTTCTCTTACAAAATACGTGTTGCTCCCCGATCTGATGCCATTGAAGTCCCCTAGAAATACTCTGCTGCTGTGAAGGTGACCCTCGGGGAACCAGGGCCAAGCAAGAACATTTTAACCATTCACTGTGAGAGTAAAACCAGTGTCATTAAGGGGATTTCTGTAGAGCTTAGCTTGACTAGGCAGACCCCGTAGCTCTAAAACTGTATAGTCATTAACTGGTCAAAGAGTGACACGTGAAGCTTAACTTCCTGAGTGGGGATCTGGAGACACTAGCGTCGATCATCTTAGTATTTGATGTTTTCGGTTCTTGTCTTTAGTGGTTACCCGGGCTGCCCTTACCCACCTGGTGGTCCGTACCCTGCCACAACAAGTTCCCAGTACCCTTCCCAGCCTCCTGCGACCACCGTTGGTAAGTAGCCTTCCAAACTGTATTTCTCCACATAAGGAAAGTCTGAGTCTCCTGTTGTGAAAAGTGCACTTCGTTGTTTTTTTTCTTGAATAAATTTGGTCAGTAACATTGTGTAAGGTACGGTGGACAGCTTGGATACATTTATATGTTGTAATATTACTGTTGTAGCAATATTATTGTCTATATTTACTACTCATTCCACGTTTGTTTCCTTAAACACCATTAGTCTTATCCTTCCCCCTCTCTCCACCCTCTTGCCTGCTTTTTACATTTATACTGGAATGTTAGACTACTCCTTAGAGGACAACCTCTTTGTGGTAATTTACTTCAAAAGCCTTCTGAGAGGTGTCTCGGCTTCTGTCCTTGGCTCTCTACACCTGTTTATAAAAGCAGCAAAAGCAATCTTGTGAAAATAAGCAAGTCACGTCACTTCTCTGCTCGGAACATTTCATAGTTTCCCCTTCCACTCAGCTTACTCCCAGGTTCTTAGGCCTGCAAGGCCCTGTGTGATCCTGCATTCCTCCCCTGTTGTTTATGCGACCTCATCTCCTACTACTGTTCTATCTCAGGGTTTGTCCCCTGCCCGTTTTCTCTGCATGGAGCAGTCAGTCCTGTGCTGGCTGATCAGCTACCTCCATCACCACCAGCCCCCCAGTACACATACCCCCCAACACAGGAATGGTGTTGATACATAGATATTGATGATACATATTTTGCTGAGTGCCTCAGTGAATGTAGGATCTCATGGTTTATTTTCCTGTTACATTTTCTCATATGTTATAACCACCCAGAAATCTGAAGTATAAATTCCTGCCCCAGAAAGCATTTCTTCCCGTTTTTGTCATTGACACACTGCAGTTGTGGAGATTCTAGTGCATAGTTTTGATTTTTTTTTAATTTTCTCATCTTTAATGTGGCTCTTTTTTTACACTGTAATTTAAATAATTCAGTTAGAAACCTAATGATGGGAGGTCTTAAAACCATAAGCAGAGCACAGTAAATCTTGTTCAGCTCTTAATTTTGGTTCAGGCGGCATCAGTAAAACACGAACGGTGCTGGTTTGTCACCCAGTTTCTCACTGAGACAACGGCACAACCCCTTCTGTTTGTGGAGGGTCTGTTTCTGCAGGTCCTTGATGTGTTTGCTCTTCAGAATAATAGGTCTGAAGCATTTTAGAGCTTATAGTAGATAGATAATTTCCATACATCCAAAGGTGGGAATGTGGGGGGATGTTGTATTTAAAGTCAGATCTCATGTGTCTGTTTTTAGGACAGGCTGTCAAAGTAACTAACATTTTATTGTATTTTTAAGAAAGACTAGAAATAAATGATTATTTTACCATAACCTAGGGTATCCTTTTTAAAAATATATTTTATTGATTATGTTATTAAAGTTGACCCATTTCCCCCCTTCATTCCCCTCTACCCTGCACACCTCTCCCTCCCACATTCCCCTCCTTTAGTGCATGTCCGTGTGTCTTAAGTTCTTTAGCTTTTACATTTCCCATACTATTCTTGCCCTCCTCGTCTATTTTCTGCCTGCTATCTATGCTACTTATTCTCTGTACCTTCCCCCCCACACTCCTCTGTTGCTAGCCCTGCATGTGAACTCCATTTCTGTGGTTCTGTTCCTGTTCTAGTTGTTTCCTTAGTTTGTTTTCATTTTAGGTGTGGTTGTTAGTAATTGTGAGTTTGCTGTCATTTTAGTATACATGTTTTTTATGTCCTTTTTCCTAGATAAGTCCCTTTAGCATTTCATAAAATACTTGGTGATGATGAGCTCCTTCAACTTGACCTTATCTGAGAAGCACTTTATCTGTCCTTCTAAATGAAAGCTTTGCTGGATAGAGCAATCTTGGATGTAGGTTGTTGTCTTTCATGATTTAGAATACTTCTTTCCATCCCCTTCTTGCTTGTAAGGTGTCTCTTGAGAAATCAGCTGACAGTCTGATGGGGACGCCTTTGTAGGTGACTGTCTCCTTATCTCTTGCTACTTCTAGGATTCTCTCCTTCATTTTAATCTTGGCTAATGTAGTTATGATGTGCCTTGGTGTGTTCCTTCTTGGGTCCAACTTCTTTGGGACTCTCTGAGCTTCCTGGATTTCCTGGAAGTCTATTTCCTTTGCCCGATTGGGGAAGTTCTCCTTTATTATTTGTTCAAATAAGTTTTCCACTTGTTGCTGTTCCTCTTCCCCTTCTGGTACCCCTTTTATTCAGATGTTGGAACATTTAAAGATGTCCTGGAGATTCCTAAGCCTCTCCTCATTTTATTGAATTATTCTTTCTTCATTTTGTTCTGGTTGAATGTTTTTTTCTTCCTTCTGGTCCACTCCATTGATTTGAATCCCAGTTTCCTTCCCATCACTATTGGTTTCCTGTGCATTTCCCTTCATTTCAATTAGGTTAGCCTTCATTTGTTCCTCTAATTTGTGACTAAAATTAACCAGTTCTGTGAGCATCCTGATCACCAGTGTTTTGAACTGTGCATCTGATAGGTTGGCTATTTCTTTGTCGCTTAGAAGTATTGGCTCTGGGGCTTTCAGCTGTTTTTCTGCTTGAGCCATAATGTTTTGATTTGTTTGCACCTGTTACATTACATATGCGTGGTGGAGCCTTAGATGTTCACCAAGGCGGGGCAACCCAGGTCACTGGGTTGTGATGCTGTATGTGGGGGTGGGGTCCGAGAGGGGAAAAAAAGGGGGGCGCTTTGCTCCACTCTCTGTTGCACCTCAGTCCCTTCCACTGCTTCCCCCAAGCGAACTGGGCCTTTCTGGTGCTGATTCCTGTGTGGGTGGGCTTATGTGCATTCTAGGACCCTGTGGGTTTCTCCAACAAACTTTCTTGTGAGGGTTTGAGGCTTTATTTCCCAGTGCTAGGACCCTGGGTTGCAGGGGTTTGTCTCACTCCCCAGTTATCTGGGCGTGAATGTGGGACCACTGCCTGGTCAGCCGGCCACCTTGCGCACAGTACCCTGCTTCTCAATCACTGCCTCGATGGGTCTGCCCATTACCACCCCACGTCCAGGGTCTGCCAGCCACTGCTGGGTGCCCAGGGTCTGCCCAGTGTCGCTTTGCAGGCCCGGGGTGCCTTGCACACCCCGTGTCACCGCTTCCTGTGCTGCACCCCCTCCCTGCTTGGCCGCCTGACTCCACCCCACCTACTTGTCTGGATGAATGTGTCTATTTTAACTCCTTGGTTGTCGGACTTCCATATAGTTCAATTTTCTTTCAGTTTTGGTTGTTACCTGGTTTCTGAATTGTTGTTGTCCTTATTTTGGTTGTTCGAGGAGGCACGGTGTGTCTGCCTATGCCTCCATCTTGGCCGGAAGTCCTAATGTATATTATTTTTCTAACCCTTGTCGCTACCTACTACTGGTTTCTTATCGTGTTTTCATGATACATTGCGCATAGCTTGTTGGACTTCAAAAGTGTAGTAAAGCAGGAACACTAAAGTACCATTTGAATGTCAGTTCACCTGCAGTGGACATTTTCTCAGTCTGCTAGTGGTTATTAGGATTCCTACTACTGTTCTCTGCCACTGTGGCCATGAGAAAGAATGGATGTAGTTATTTATCCTGGTACTTGGTGGAAAATGATAGTTTCCCTTTATAGGTTTTGATTTGATGATGAAAAACAAAACTGTTTAAAGGCACCATTAATTAACGTACGCCTTTTTATTATTGATGGGGGTGCCGGTGCCTGCGTTGCTTTTTGACCGTCTCCAACAATAATGAAGCGAAACCACTTACAACTGAAGTGGTAGAGACGGGATTCTCACAGCGGCGTCTTCTGAGAACGTAGTGCCGCCGAGGGTGGATGCCACTGCGGGGCTTACACGGGTCTTCCTGGCTCCGTTCAGTGTGGTTTTTGAACAATGTTTAAAAGACTACCAGAGAATTTGTTTTGTCTCATCTCATTTTATAGCTTCTTTACTATGTGGGCAGACAGCTTTCTACCCAACCTGACTTAGCACCACCTTCTTGAGACTGGAGCCCACTGCGGTCGTTGACTAAGTGGCGGGGGTAGTGCTGAATAATGAAAAACCTGTCGATGATGCTTTTCCGTCGGGTCTGGGCAGTTGTAGTGTGGTTTTAGTACGCTTGTGTTGTTTAAGTTCTCCCTTGAAGTCATTTTAAGACCAGGTGTATTTTGGGGTTATCATCGTTGCAAGGGACTACCAGAAACATTTTCTGTGGGAAGATCATTGGGAAAAGTTGGGGAACTTAGACAAGTTTCCTTGAATTTTGTCCATTGCGTGCATTATTTATCAACAAAGGCATCAGAAGGAATGTAAACCGTTCTTGATATCTGAGGATAAAACTTAAGTGTCAAAAAATTTTAAAACGTGCCCTGTCTGGGTAGCTCAGGGATGGGAGAGCATCGTCCCATTACACCAAGGCTGCAGGCCAGGGTACACGCAAGAATCAGCCAGTGAGTGCATGAGTAAGTGGAACAGCAAATGGATGTTTCTCCCCCTCTCTCTCTAAAATCAATAAATTAAAAATAAATTTTTTAAACTTAAAAACTTAAGTTTCTGTTTCTTCAGATCAAGTATATGACTCTTCAGAGTGAAACATTTCTGTTAGGACTAGGCATATAACTTTGACCAAGCTGACATTGTGAAAACTGGAAGAAAACTTGAATTCTGATTTTAAAGTTTAAAAGTGTTTGACCACTATCATGTTATAAATAATAAATTTGTAAGACATCATTAATACTTGCTTATGTGCTCTTAATAGCAGATGATAGAAGACAAGCAGTGGCAGGTATGGAAATGCGGTCATTCATGTTTTCAGGACTGAAAAATGGGCACTCGAGGAGCTTTGGTCCCCAGCAGGGCATTCCCCTGGAGAGGGCCAGACTCCACTGGGCAAGGCAGAGTGGCCTGATGGGGCATCAGTTAATTTCCACCTTCACACATGGCACCATCTGCCAGGTCCAGATGTGCCGGTGGTTTGCTGGGAGGCAGTAATCTGGGAGTGATGAAGTTGTTAAATATTAT